GGTTCAGCATCTGGTGAGTTAGTGAGATGTCTGAATGTCTACAGAGGATCTGAACAGTCAGCTGAGGAAGTTTCAAATGTTTTCTGTAAATCAAATTAAAATACTTTTTAAAAAGAAAAGGAAAGAAAGAAAGAAAGAAAGAAAGAAAGAAAGAAAGAAAGAAAGAAAGAAAGAAAGAAAGAAAGAAAGAAAGAAAGAAAATAGTTTAACGCCACTAAACCCGGATGAAAAGTAGCTTTTCAAAGCCGCTTGTGGAGCGTAATTGCGCGCGCACAGAACAATTGAATCGAAGATCGCCATCTGTCCAATTTTACGCTTTTATTAAGAAAAGAAAAACAGCAGGGTAAAAATCAGTTTCTTATCATGTAGTCCGTGTCAACAGAAAGAGCGCGATCTGACTGAGTCCCCATCATCTGAAGGGAAACAGGCTTTATTGTCCAGCTCTGGCAGAAACCGGGAGGCAGCTGAAAGCTGTCTCATCACAACACGAACATGTAAAATATTTCCAACTTACAGCATCCAGGTTTGGCCCCAGGCTTCTGTCCCATCAGTGGACCGGGTCTCGTTTGGTGCGGATGCTTTTATAAAGCAGCATCATGGACAGAACCTCTGCTCCCCCTCTGATAGGCTGCGCGCTTTCACCCCCTCTGTCCGAACTTCGGAGCAGATCTTCCGAGGGTTTCTGGCCAATCGGTGAGCAACAGGTTCTGATTTCGTATGGCAGCCAAAGCGAAACCCAGCTCTCAATTTGAGTATTTGCCTTTGAAGAGTGTTGTAAACTAGGTAGTAGGGTGTATTAGAGCATTTTTGCCTTGAACAGTGGTGGAATGATGAGACAGAGGGTGTCTCTGAATCAGAGGTCTTGGACCCAAGATGGGTCATTTTCTAGTTATAAGCCAATTACTTCTGGAGTTTTGTCATAGAACTTGACGTGATCCATGTAGAGAGGAGAGCTGATTTTTCTACTGTTATACAAAAGTAAAATTATTATTTTTTCATTTGTAATGTGTGTGTGGGAAGTGTGTTTGTCTGTCCATTGATGGTGCCAGAGGTGTAGGGATACTCAGCACTTTGTTTATTGAACACTGAAAGGTCAAAGCGAGGAGAAGATCAACCCAATTCTATAAGTTTACTGGAAACACCACACAATTGATGTACAAACCACAAAGAAACATCAGAGACAGAGTTACTTTGTCCATTTTAAAATCTCTTTAAAAAAAATCAAGATTATTCCATCACCATTGAGTGGATTTTCCTAATTTAAAAAACAACCAGAGTTAAAGACAAACAAAGACACATTTCCTCTTTCACATGGAGGTTGTCATTTATGGAGATATGCATCTAGCCAGAGATCTCCTGAGGTTTTCAGTGACCTGCAAGAGGGACCAAGAAAAAGAAAGTAGAGGAAACATCAGTTCATCGACAGACAATTCCTCATTATCAGGAGACATCTGTATAAAAGACTCTGCTGGAAGTCTTCTATTCCAGCAACATCAGACTGACAAGTGTGGGTTCTATTCATTTATTTTTAGCTTATTTAAGCGGTGAGTTATTACCTGACAACGTCAACCAAGCCTTGCCACAGCGTTTTGACCTGGTAAGGAATCCCATGTTTCTCACACAGTGCTCGGACCCGCGGGGCCACCAGCTGGTAGTTGTGACGTGGCATCAGGGGAAACAAACTTAAGAACGAGAACATTTTCAAGAGGCATAAATGTTATCAACATGTTTTCAGGATCTGTGATAAAAGTGTAACTTTTAATATGATACGCTCTATGTCTAATTCCACACACTGAAAGAGGCACTATCCTAATTTGAATTGTTTCACAATACAGGAGCACCTGAATTTAGGAGATAGATTTCAATACCTGAAATTTTCTCAATCCGCAGTTGATGTTTTTCATAGCTTCTCATATTTAAAAAATGTAAAATTTTGTTGCCCGGAAAATCTTAAACCTTTCTTTCTTTTTCATTTATCTTGTGAAATCCAGTGTTTTCCGATAGTGAATGATGGTGTAATGCATGCCAGAAATAGTCGTTTGACTTACTGGTGTTCGATTTGGAAGTTGAGGTGTCCAGTAAACCAGTCATTGAAGAATGATTGCTCAACATTACAGGTGGCTTGTAACTGAAATAGAAAAACCCATTTGATTATCTTTCATGTGATGGCTGTGGATGGACACTCAGTTCACAAATGTCTTTATAATTCTTGATTTAAATCTGCCCTTAGTATATCTTTATTGCTTTATTATCATGGAAAAATACTCCTAACCATGTCATTTTGATGGAGACCTGAGATTTTGAGTTGGTACTTGATATAACAGCATATAGTTCAGCTTTTCTTCTGCTAGTGTCAAAATATAGTTTGTTATTTTTTGCAAGTGACTTGTTTCCTTAAATACTGTAGGAAAATTTCATTTGGGCTTTCAAAAACATTTTTGATCTACAAAATGATTATTTCGATTTGATGCTTTGATGCCACCAGAGTTTCTGGAATGTCTCATTTGAAGAAAATATGCTTTAAAACTCACAAGAAGTTGGAAAGCAGTGCATAAAAGAATTTTTCAGAGTCTTCACTAATACAGCCATCTTCAGCGGCTGCATGTAAATATCAGTTTCCACTTTTTGTCCTAACACAGGTACCTGCATCGTCAGCCACTCTCTGTGCCCCTCGTGATCAATCTTCATTGGAAGATGGTTGATTTGCGTCACCCACACAAACCAGTGACTCTCCAAAAACCTGAAAGAAAGACATCAGAGTAATATGTCTCACTAAATATTGAATATATTGAATATGGAATAAGCTTATTTGAATTATGAAAAATGTTTTTACTCTTTTAATGATTTTATTCATAGAATCACATAATTCCCTGAAGAATATCAAAAAGATATTCGTTGATCTTTTCTTTATTTTCTTCCTGCCAATTCTTTTCTGTTAAGCATGCAATTACAACCTTTTTTTGAAACACTTACCTCATAAAATAATTGAGTGCCACTGAGCCAAAAAAGCCATAAAGGGGTATGGCGCACAAGTAGTAGCGAATATAATATGTTATGTGCCACACAAGGTCCTTAAAAAAAAGATATGAGGAATATTAGGACATTTTTATAACAAGAGGTTATGACTCACTGACCAATTTTTCTTAGGATACGGTAAAAAGAAATATTTGATTTACATAGAAAAATCTGTTTATAAACTGAACAACAACAAACAAACCAGTATCTTACATTCCATTTTCGATGGGAAATCATGCTTTGCAGTGACTGAATGTTGAAGAGAACTGGAATAAGTAGTGGTGGTCCCACTAAAGTAGAAGGAAAATGCTGTCATCTGCTGGAAAGCTATCATTTAGCTTATTCCTCATCAATCACATTAAACAAACTCACCAAGAAAGAAATATTTGTGTTGGTGGTTATAGGGCAATAATTTGATCTTTTTTATTCCATACTGCAACAGAGAAGAGAACAGGAGAGGTTAAGTGAGGAATTTGAGCCCTCCACATTTTTGAGAATGAGAAGTGTGCAGAACAGGTTGTCTAGGCTTCTCAAGAGTCCTGGATTCAAGTTCAACCTGTATCTCACATTTTCTACATGTTTCTCCCTTTGCTACTGTTTCCATTCCATCGACTTTTGGTTGAAGGCCCCTTGGTCTAAAAAAATTAATTGAAATAGATATTTCTTGAAGCAATAACCTCCACTGGTTGAGTGGCTCCAAGAACAAGGATGTCCACCATGTTGACATCAGGGTCTTTCATCATGACATTTGGTTTGGCGTGATGCTGGTTGTGTCGATGGTTCCACCAGTTGGGTGAGGCTCCCTACAAAAAATGAAATAGCTAATGATACATGATCTTTTTATTGAACTGTTCTGACTAGGGCTATGATAAAAATGCTGAGGCTGACCTTGAAATGTCCAAAGACAATACTGTGCATCAGGCGATTCCATCGAGACTTCTTGAAGACAGATAGATGACCAAAGTCATGCTGCAACCATCCAGCCTGTGCCTAAAAAACAACACTACAAACTATTATCTAATCATATACACACATATCTTTGCATACTTTTCAATGATTCTGCCTGAAGAACAATAAATCACAGATTTTTTTCGCAAACCTGAGCGGTTGTCAGCAACAACGAACACAGAAGTGTCGGAGTCCAGCTCGTCCCCCAGTACCAGACCAGCAGCCACGCCAGGGCCTCCAGCAGCAGGATGTGGCCCAGATGGAGGCAGAAGAACAAAGGTTTGGCTCGAAATAGACCCTCCTTCTCTGCCTGCTCTCGTAAAGTCTTAAAATCCTGAATGATTTCTGCCTGAGAAGAGAGAGCACAGTTGCAAAATGTGGGTTTGTGGAAATCTGAATGATAAGATATTTGAATTATGAATTCAAATTCTTACGTTTTTGTTGTGGTCGTGGCTTGGCTCTGAAGCAGCCAACTCCCCGATCAGCAGAGGCATCAGAAACTTCTGCACTAACTTTGGATCGGGATGAAAAGCGTTGAAAGCTTCCTGAGAAACACAAAGTTATGCACATGCTTATTCTTCATTTTTGACACTTTGTCAGAACTCAAAGAGCTGTCACTACTGACACTTCAAAACCTAAAAGTGAACTATAATGCAGAAAGGGGGTAACAGCTTTGTTTGTTGATGCCTTTTGCATCAGCATATTTCATGGACTCACATTTTCCTAAACACTAAATATCTTTATGTCCCCTTTTTTGACAAATTAGTGGAAAGGAAATGTTTAAACAAGTCAGGATAATGGTGAGAAATGTTCTATGTGGAAAACTGAACACCTGAACAAAAAGAAGATGTTGTAAAGCTTAACATCACCACCATGCAAGAGCTTGTTTCACTACTGATTCTGAATTACTATTACTAAACCTTCCACGGGCAAACATTTGATAAGGAATTATGCTTCTATTTCAGCAACTGCAAACTCACTATTCTTAATCTGCAAATATCTGAGAGTAAAATTGGTGTTTTTGCACTGAACAAGACCTTGAAAAAGTACTTTTAGACCACAAAAACCCTTACAGACTAATCCAAATTATGCAGTATAACAAAGTATTTGAGCTGTACAGGCAACACACAAATAGTCATACCACCAAGAGATCACTTTCAAGCACTCATGAAGGCTCTTGAAGACATTTTTGAAATTCACTTTCCATCACTTTTAACAGTTAGATAAAAGTAAAATGGAGGTAACTGTCCAGTAACAGCGGAACATCTGTGAGAAACTTTAGAAAATCATTAAAGTCTGTAAATAATTAAGCTTTCCACATTGAATACAAATGTAAGAGTGATGCAGAAAACCTGATTTGTGAAATTTTCTTGTAATTTCAATGACATATTTTCATGTAATGAGTTTAAATGTTCAAGCTCCCTTACCGTGGCATCCTCCCCGGCGTAGTGGTTGATGACCCGAAACCCTCCCGGATGTCTTTTGGCCCACTGGGTGACATTGTAAACTTTTCGATTGACGACCAGCCACTCATCATTCCTACTGCAGTGCTTCTGCACCTCCTCCCAGGTGTACACATCTGGATCTCTCCCGCTGGGCTCCTGAGACTCTGTCTGCTGACCCCCGCCTCCCATCCTCACTGCTGCTGCCTCCGGCACGCCGAGAGAAACGTCTGCCCCAAGCTCTCACTGACCGAGTTGATGAATCTGTCTTTATCTTAAAGAAGGGAAAAACAATGTGAATTGCACCTCACAAACACGGCTCAGCTTATCGGGCCGTGCCTACTTGAACCTACCACATCCTGATTTTAACTCGGAGCTCATCAGCTTGTGTACTGGACGCAGGTCACCGTGCCTTCAGCCCAGCGGCCGCTTATCTGGACGCTGCTGGGTTGTCTGAGTGCCCAACTCCAAAACAATCTGCTGGAGGTCATAGATTCTCACATTGGCTGAGTCTGAGACATCTTCTCACACGTGGTGACGCACTTATGAAACAATTATTCTAGTTTTGAATTTAGATGGACAAGTTAAATTATTCTTTCCTGAATATCAGAAATGTGTTATTCTGTTGTGCCAGAGGGTAAAACTATTACTAGTGGGCATAAACATGTGGATAAAAGGATGAGTAGATTGTAACAACACAATACCTAACTGTTATAAATATCTTTGGAGGTTTTCTATGAAATATATCTGAACTGCACGAAGCTGATAAGTCAAATGGAAATGCACGGCCACATAAAAAAAGGTTCAAGGTCTAAATTGAAAGTGAGCTGTAATCAACGGTATCTACCCAACTGGAACAGATACAGGGAACATTCCTGTCATAATTATTTTTATTCTTAAGAGACTATTAACACAGAAAAAAGTGATCTGGCCTCAAAATGTAGTTCTTGGAATGAACAACATACAATATCGCTTACAAACTTCTTCTACAGACTCAACTCTGTTGACCCAACTGATTCAACTCTGTTGAGTCTGTATGAGTTGAAAAAGTACAAAGTGTTACACAGGCTCCAGGGCCATGACCTGTGCTCCAGATTTCTACTACCCTCAGTGTTTTTTTTTAGTGGGTTGATTTTTTTAATTTGTGGGATTATTGCCTTTATTTTACCGTTTACCCTGAATTTAGACCAAAATCACCTTCAGAACTAGGTTTTAATGATTCTCATTAACTGAATGATGAGGGGGTGGCGGTGCGGTGGTCTGGTGGTTAGCACAATCGCCTAACAGCAACCACCGCCTAACCATCCAAAAACCTGCATGTTAGATTGGTTGGGCATTGCAAATTGCCCTTAGGAGTGAGTGTGCGTGGTTGTATGTCCTTGTGTATCTCTGTGTGGCCCTGTGATGGACTGGTGGACCGTCCAGGGTGTGCCCAGCCTGTTGCCCAGTGAATCCTGAGTTAGGCTCCAGTCCCCCCACGACCCCATTAGGGAATAAGCAGTTATAAAAATGGATGGATGGATGAACGATGGGGCAGACCCAACACAGAAACAACTTATTCTTGATAAATGTGGAATACACAATTTTTCCTTAAAGGGGCGGTTCATGTTTGTGTGGTTCTTTGAAGGTTATAAGATATCCAGCTTATAAAAACAAAGTTTAGAAATTCATGATTCATCATTCACTGAGCAGATTAAAACTAGGCAGACTCTGAAGAGTACATTAGATATGAGGAAAAGTGGCTGCAGGAGAATCTGGGCTCTAGGACTCATCTGATGGATGATGTAAATAAATGTTTGGAACAAACTATGACGCAGGACTGTTTTTGTTAAGTAGTTATTAGATGACTGTTCTCTTACTTTGATCCCTAACCCTTGATTACTTCTGTACAAGAAGAAATTGCAAATGGCATCTTTTCAACTACTACTTCCAACTCTGCAGTTTTTTTTTTTCACTTTTCAAGACTTGATGCATTAGTGTTGGGTTTGTAGTCTCGGTTAATTAATCTCTTCTGAGGGGTGTGTTTAATTTCAACGGCAGTTGCTTCAACTATATCTTGTGGGTCACACTGACATTTAGATATCTTCCACGATGGCATGGGGTGACCACGTTTAAGTTATACATGAAAACTTTCATCAAAGGTCACACTTATTGCAGGATGAATAACACCAATATTCCCAACATGAATGCAAACATCAAATCGTGTTTCCTTTTAAAATTGCAGTACATACACAAAATTACTTTTGGAAATTAGAATTTTGACCCAGCATGTCTGTTGTGAAGGCTGGTTTTGCAGTATTTCCAAAAGCATGAAGTCAGCTGTGTGAAATAATTCTCATTTTTTAAATTTACAATATTGGGAAATGTGATTCAAGAACAATAATCTAAATGATTCAATATTGTTTAGTGTTTGTAGATTAATATGAATTACTGTTTGCACTGAACATCTGGACTTCCAGACAGACTCCCATGCAATTAATATTCCCGCCAGCAGAGGATGCAGATGTGCTATTTTGATCAGAAACTGAACAAAAAGGCCTTGTGTTACAGTTTTGTGTGGATATTGTCATCATCCAATCAATATGAACAAAGCAACTTCATACTAATCGGATTTTCATTTTTATGTATTTACATCAAATGGAAATTGACCTTAAATGCCTGCTTTCAGTCTTCTGTGTTCATGCAGTTTTTCCACATATTGCCAGGGGTTATGCAGTGCCTCATCTGGAGTTCAACACATTGGCTTCAGCAGTCACATCAATTAACCACCCAAATTTTGTGTGTCTGTCTTCTGCTTACATCCCTTTGTGTCATTTCAGGGTCATTTGAGGAGGTCATTTGAGAGGCGGAAATGCGCAAATCAGCTCTTTTGGCAGTGTGCATATCACACATGATTATTCTCAAGCCGCTTGTCTCCCTGTTCATCCACTCATCAGGCAGACAGAGGAGCTTCTGACCTCAGTCATTTTCCCAGAAATGTCACGAGACTCATTCGCAACACAGCACAATGTAATTCATAGCAACTTTTTAATATTTACACTGAAACCATATGTGTATCTAATTATGTAAATAGGAAACATTTGCTCTGGTGCACTGTAAGGCATTTTATGTTCATGTAAAGTGAATGTTTTAACCTTTTTTATGGGGTGCTTTTGATAAAGACAAATGTACACCAAATAAATTCTGATGAACAATAAGATAACAAATTATTTGATCAAACAAAATCTGGACACTTAACATTAAAATGATGAACCAGGAGAACAACAAACCACTTAAACCCCAAAAAAGGCTACATGCAGCAGCAAACATGGATCCTGACAGCAAAATGTGAATATTACACTCCTGTGCTTAGTTGCACATTTCCCCTTCAAATACACCTATAATTGCAGGAAAATTACTTTTAGCAGTTTCTCAACCTTAATTCTCTGGTGGTGCCTGCAGAGCTTTGATGGCTTTGATGCTCACTTTCATTTCGGTATCTGAGTTCATCAATATCTGCCAGGTGCTATTTAAGTCAGTCAGGTTTAATTGGTTTGAGTTGCTCTATGTTAAAGCTCTCTTGCTCTCTTCTTAAGCTTGAACGTGACTTTCATCATAACTGTAAACTGCTGCTTCTTAACAAAGGAAGAAAGGAAATGAAAACGCTTTGTATTTTGAGCAGTATCCGGCAGCTTAAAATAAAGGCTCATCTGAATTGTTACCGAGATATTTATACATCTAAAGCTTTCAACTATGCATTTCCCTACAGTTCCGAAACTTTTTAGAATACTTGGGAAAAAGGGTGAAGCTGTCCCGCTGCAGACGTCCGATTCTGATGACGCGCGCGCGCACACGCACGCACGCACGCACGCACGCTAACCATGTGATGTGGATGCACCCTGTTGCGAAGGAGGGGGGGTTTCAGTTCAATCTGAACTTCCCCAGTGATGGAGAGAAGCGGGACCACACCAGGAACAGCCGGGCTGCAACGTCCCAAATTGACATTTATTTTTCTCGCGTGAAAAAGAACCGAGGAGACCTCAGCTAGAGGACTTCTGTTAACTTTTGTTTTTGCCGACGGTCAGGTCACACTGGATTTATCCGCAGACAGCTAGGAGCGACGACGAGCTGCAATAGTGACTCTTTACTGTTCTAACGTGGCTCTGTCCCTGACAGAGTGGATCACTGGAACAGAGGACCTAAAAGCTATCAGTTAAATGTCTAGCAGAAGAGTAAGAATTTGATAACAGCTCAAAATTCAGCTCTTTTTTATTCAATTCAACAACCAGCAGCACTATTATAATTATTATTACTACTACTACTATTACTATTACTATTACTATTACTATTATTACTATTACTATCATTACTATTACTTCACGGCCTGGTAGAGCTTTTTTCTCTTTTTTGACAATAACATAATAGGTGACGGGACAAAATGACACTTGATAAACTTCTGTTGCATAGCAGGAGTGTTAATTGACATGGAACATGATGCCATCTGAGGCCAGTGGGATCAGCCTTAACACAGCAGCAGCTCCCAGGCCAGCACTAACTAGTCAAAGACTCTGCCTCATCAAATGACTGTGCCCTGACTCACACTGGAGTCAGGGACTTCATGACACAGCATGGGCAACTCCTCCAGGAAGGGTGAAGAGGAAGAGGCAGAAGATGGGGCAAAGGACGGCGAGGAAGAAGAAGAAGTCGCAGAAAAAGAGAAAGAGGTGGAGGTAGAGGAAGAGCCGGAACTTCCATTAGGAGTGGAGGAGTTGCTGGAGAGTGGAGATCCTGTGTTGGATTTAAGCTATCGAAAATTTAAGAAACTACCTTCACGTGTTTGTGGACTGATGCATCTCGAGAAGTTGTACGTTTGTGGCAACAGTTTGCGCACTTTGCCAGAGAGCATCTCCCAGCTGCGGGGTCTGCGTATACTCGCCCTTGACTTCAACAAGATGGAAGATGTTCCCCCAGCCGTGTGCGAGCTCACCAACCTCACCCGTCTCTACCTGGGCAGCAACCGGCTGATGAGCCTCCCACCGGAGCTGAAGAACCTGCAGAACCTGAAATGTTTGTGGGTGGAAAGCAACTACTTCCACAGTTTTCCAAAGGAGCTATATGACTTACCCCACCTTAAGTCCCTCCAGATTGGGGACAACCGGCTTAAAACGCTGCCTCCTGACCTTTGCCGCATGGAAGCTCTGAGAGGATTATGGTTGTATGGAAACCGCTTTGATACCTTCCCAAGAGTCCTTCTGCGCATGGAAAACTTGGAGATCTTGGACTTGGACAAGAATAAAATATCCGAATTCCCAAGCCTGAGGCGTCTCCGAGCCCTGCGCCTTTTCTCCTATGACCACAACCCAGTCGAGGAGCCTCCCAGAGTGGGTGAGGAGGTGCTGGTCGTAGGGGAAGGGGCTGCAGAGTTCTTAGAGGCACGTGAGGCTCGCAAGGAGAGACTACGAAAGGCTGCGGAGGAGGCAGAGGAGCAAGCTTTGGCAGAATCGCTGGCCGAAGAGCCTGTGATTCATGGCATCCTGAAGAACAGCAACTCCAACTCCAAACAAGCAACCAACGGATCTGTGGTGATCGTAGAGGACCCAGGTGTGAAAGAGGATGAGTCCCCCATTAGGGACGAAGAGGGAGGGTGTGTGCAGTTCCCACTGGCAGGGTATGATGGAACAGAGCTTGAATATGATGAGGAGTTGGTTGAGTATGAGACAGAGGAGCTGATATATGAGGGAGAGGGCTTTGAGTATGAGGGAGAGGGGCTGGAGTATGAGAGGGCTCAAATGGACTATGAGTATGAAGAGGGGGAAGAGGTGGGAGACATGGGGAGACAGGATGAAGGGGCATGAATAGCTGCCCCATTCTGCTGGAAGGTTAGTATGGATAATGGAATATCCAGCAGATAGATTTTTTGAAAGGAGCTCACTCAGAGGGAGTGTGGCTCTTTCCTTGCTGTGCTGCTAATATATCATTTGTTAACTGTGAAAATAAAAGGGGCATTATGTTCCTATTACAGCACCTTTGACATCTCACTCAGCTGCACATGGTTACGTGTGTATTTGTTGGTACAGTGCATGTGACTGTTCAAAGTAGGATTGTGTTTGGAATGTTCCATCAATAAAACTTTGCTTGAGGCCATTTTCAGTCATTTGAGAAAAAAAACAATAAGTAAGCACATTGTAACATTTTCACATTTTTGCCAGTATCTGCTTGTCTGTGCACATTGACTTGGCTTATATAATTCTTTATAAACATGTAAATGTGTTTCACAAAGTGATTGTGAGATGCTATAGAAAACCCCACACGAGCCCTGCTGGTGATATGGTAGCATTCCTACAGGTGTTGGTGCCAGGAACCAGGGTGAAACGTGCAGGATTATTGGAAGGCTGAATAGGAGGGTTTCCTCTCCATAAAAGGTAAGTCAGAGGAGAGGGTAAGGCTTTAATGGGAAACGGAAATATGAAAATACATACACACAGAAAGAATTGCTTTACTCCAAGTAAAAAGTTTAAGCTGACTTTAACTTTACTCTTTACATGAAGTGGGCCCAGCCCTCATTGTCCTCTCATCATTCATGTGGGGCTCGGCTGTAATCCAATCCTCTTTCTCCCCTCGTATCTTTTTTCTCACATCTCATTGAAAGTTAAATATTTATCTCTGTCCTAAAACATTAATGCCTGTACTCATGTAGCAGCGCTTCAATTCCTCTGGCTGCTCTGGGGAAATGTTGCACAACAGATACACCAGTTGGTTAAACTCTACGGGGAAAAACCTTTTCAAACGGCTCCTATAGTGATTTTTGAGATATATGTCACACAGCAAAGGAAAATGACATCCTTCACAGAGCGAATGTTTATTGGAAAGTTTCAAAATTGTGAAAAAAGGGAAAAGAGTGTTTTAGCAACTTGTTATTTCTTTCTGTGAAACATTTTCTGTAGCAATGGCAGAGGCTCTGTGAAGTGGGTTAGAGTCTTTATGGGCTTCAAGTGACACTTCAAGCAAATGCAATCTGATGTGGAGTAAAATGGGGAGTTTTCAAAGCAGCTTTGTGGAGTGTGCATGTAAACGAAAAGTGCTGAGGTTCAGTGCCAGAATCGTCCTCCACCTGAGCTGGACTACAGTGAGAGCAGTGAGAAGCTGTCGGGAAGTGCATGCTGTGGCAAAGAGTGGAAAGAACTGCTGGAATCTGCCTCCTCTCTCACAGCACACACTCTGTTGCTCATTCCTCAGCTGTGGGTGGCAGAACAGTTTGACACTCTGCAGAAGTCCATGTGCATCAGTGCCACATTCAGTATTGCTGCTTTCATTTTGCACATAAGTTTACAGTCCTCTCATTCTCTGTAGGTCAGTGACAGTGAGGCGTTTACAGACAAGACAGCATCTCTGTTGGTCCCTTTAAACACGGCTGTCTTACTAGCAGCTTTTTAGCTGACACAAAGACCTCGTGAAAAATGTTTAAACAAAGCACCTAAAACACCACGTGGTCCTACAAAGACTATTAAAAGCTCACCTACAGGTTGTCTTTCCTCTTAACTGATATTCATTTTCAAAAGGGAGCACGGCGAGTTTTAACTTGGAATTTTATTCATTTGATGGGCAGCAGTGCAGGTAACGTCAAAGAGGGTCTAGGCCCTAAAGATGAACCTGTGAAATGAAAAAAGGACATCTGAGAGACAGTGGTTTGCCAGATGGGTTGTCCCGAGTGCACGAGCACGAGTGCACCTCACCTGTCCGTGTCCCGGCGGTTGTAGCCGTTGCTCATTTTAGAACTAATGATTCCTGCACTGTGGGACGAGCTCAGCTGCTGCAAATCACTGCGACGGCAGAACCTGGAAAAAAGGGAGTTGTCCTGATGAGATGCTTTTCAAGTCATCTCAAACATTGTCCTCAGCAGCCCACCACACTACCCAAGCTGCTGTGGTGGAAAACTGAGCTTTAACTAGAGATGTCTAGTCTATAAGTTTTAATAGTCCATCACATACTAAGTACATCTACTACCCATGCTTTTTAAAAATATATTAGGTGTGAGTTTCATCAGGGATTATTTATTGGCCTCTTTAACCAAATAAAATAATCTGAATGTTCTTTTTCAACATCTGCTGAAAGCACAAAGCAGACTTACTTGGTCCTGTAATGTGTGGTGAAGTGGGAAGAGTCAAAGTATCCATTAGGGAAAGCTTCGTTGATTGGAGTGTTAAGAAGAGCTCCTGTGGGCTCCTGAATACAAAGTAAAACAATAGGGAAGAGTCAAGATGACAGCCAGGTTCTGATGATCTCTAATAGATGAAAAAAGAGGTAAAAGTGGGACCTTTTTTCCAATGGTCTTCACAGTTGGTGCAGTGCCTTTAGTCTGGGGTGATGGCAGGATGGTGCTCTGGAAAATCAAAGAGAATGAGATGTTACATTTGTTCTTTAATTTGAGTTTTAAAAATATATGGCGATGAAAGCACTAACTGGGCAGGCCAACGGTGCGATGGCACCTCGTGTGAATCCTGTTTCCCGGCATGAACGGATGCGCAGGCCAGCTATCGCCTCGGTACCCTAAAACCCAGAAAATGAAACCTGAGAATTGTTCAGCCATTATACTTTCACCAGCTTGTTCAAAATGAAGGGATTTACAGACAGTGTGGCTCAACCTGCAGATGGCACGGACGAACAAAGTCATTCTTCATCACGGAGCTCTGAGTCTTACGAGGAACCACCTGAGTATCAAAGTTAGAAAACAACAAAGTGTTTCAAGATGGCCTGATGACAACTTTGTGATTATGCAGCTCATCTTCATGGAAAAATATTAGCCGGGTCAATCATTTGAGCCTACAAATAAGCATCTTTTAGCTCCATAATATTGCGTTTGAAATACAAAATACAAAAATATCATCTGGCTTAGCTGTTAAAATAAAATACTCACTGTGGGGCTGTTTTTGTTCAGAAAGGTGTTTAACTGCCGCTCTGTTTCCTCAGTGAAACCGCTCACTCCTTTTGGACCCATCTTCACATGGTTTTCAAGACCTGCATCCCATCCAACAGTTATAACAATGTTTACACAGTGGCAACATTGTGCTCTTATTTATTCATTTGTTTAATTTTCAGCTTCATCTTTTGTGTCTGTCATTTGATTTACAGCTGAATTCATGTAAACGGCTACAGCTTTGGTTTTTTACCTGGTGCTGTGAGTGGATGGGGCACATACAATTGTTGGTATTCAGTCTGAGGACACATATTCATGAATACCAACAGCTTTTTTATGGCGTTCAGTATTCCAAGTGCTTTTGTTTTTATGTGCTATCAAATCTGAAGTACCTTCTCCTCCACAGGCACCGTGTTCAAAAAGCTCCTCAGCTGATGGAAGCCGCTGTCTGTAGATGTGTTCATCAGGTTTGGCAAAGATCCCAAGTAATTAAAGCAGACATGAGGCTGGTAGTGCCGTTTGGTTTGAGACATGAAACTGTCAGATAACAAGCCTCTGGAAAGAGAAAAAATTACAATCAGCTGAGCAGAACCTTAACATTTCAGTAAAAAAAGCCTTCATTCACAACAGCCTGGGTATTTATTTTTCATTTAGGAAACTAAATTGCAAAAAATGCCCTCCGCTACCTCCTCCATACTCTGAGCCGTTCAGTGATTGGGAAGCTGTGCAGCTGAATGGTATTTTCTTTGTAGTGTTCACAGAGTTCCAACAAAGGCAAAGGTTACTGGTCAATATTCAAGGCCTATTTCATTTTGAAACAGGTAAGGTAAGTTATGTAGAAATTCCTGATGAATGCAAATGAAACTCATTTACATAACACCAATCCAGTAAGTTCAACTTTTTTTAAACATTCAAGGACATGATAAAACCATTTGGTGTTTCTGGGTGTTATGATTAGGTAAGAGCATCTTCAGATAAATAACACAGGACTTTGTCATATATGTTGAGTAAATAAATAGTGTGACGTGTGCATCTGAAGTTTTTTAACGTATTTTTTGGGTGGTAGGAGTTAACAGACACTTTTTATATCCTGTGCACCATCCAGTGTTTTTAAAGATGAATGTACATTTATTTCGACAGGAGATATCATTGACCTTCTTGATAATAACAGTAATAATGGCCATGTCGAAACCTCTGATATCATGCAGAGTGGCTCATTGGAGGAGTTTACTGGATGAAAGGTACCGGTACATGACATAAAAGGTTAGTTTCAAGCCTAAAATAAAAAGAGGTGCTACAGCAATAATGGGTTGATAAAGACAATGTCTGATTTAACATTAAATCACCTTAAAGTATAGGGGTAAAGGCCCGAATAACAACATGAATTGAGTACTAGTGAACAGATGTATTGATATCTTTTGACCTCATCCATCCCTGATGTGAAATTCTGCCTCATCTGAGAAACGCTTGTGTTCTTTAGAGTATTGGTTAATATAAGGGGAATTCTGATCAGCTGTTTCATAATGAAGGCATACTAAAGCTTGGCTAGCTCACAGTAGACTCCAAACAGGGCAGTTAATGTTACAACTGCTTATCTTGCCTGACACTTACCCAAACTTAGGGTTGTCTACCAGGTCCAAACTGGGCTTGTAATATATAGCTGGCCTTTGGTTTGATGTGAAGCCTGTCCCACTGGGATGTCCGATGTAAGAGGTAAAACCCATCTTGTCCAAGCCTGGGACCAAAGACTCACTGTCACAATCCAAATATGCCTCTAAAATTGCTTTAATTCTTTGACCTTTGAACTACCTTTTGTTTCACAGCTCGCCCAACCTTCACTTACTGGGTTTGAGTTTGTTTCTGCTTAGCTGTTCCCTCCTGCCAGTCGCTCCAACAGTCGGCATGACAATCCTCCCCTGCTCAGCCATCTGTGACTGCTGTAATGGAAACCTTCCCCAACAACAGTGATGGATAGAGGAAGTCCTGCAGGCACGCGGGCACTGCCATAATCAGAAAGAAAAGCAGCAAACAAGTTGTAACTCCTTTGTTTTCAGCTGTGACAGAAAAACAAGCGTAGGTGGATAACTGATAACAGTCTCTAGAGCAAATGATTAAATTAGTTCTTCTTTATCAAATGTGCTGCAAGTTAAGAGACTAAAAGCCTTCTTTAGATTACTTGCCCTGAATATCAACAACCTAAAAATAGAGAATTAACCACAGAAGAGAGATGCTTAAGTTTCCCCCAGGCCATACCTGCAGATTGTTTGTTCACCTCTCTGTGTGTTGGTTTTGAAGGTAAACAGGTCTTGTTGCTAGGAGATTGAACACAATGCTAAACTTTTACAGCTCTGACATGAATTGTGGCCAGTGACAAGTTTAATGTTACCCATCAAGGAATCAGTTACTCTTCCTCTTATTTAACCGACAATTTGCTTGACATCTACTAGCTTTTCTGCAGTTTGTATTTGAACTATGCTGAATTCTGCAGACAGCAGGCTGGCTCCAACAAGCTGGTGAGAAGAACTAAAGACGCTAAACAGTAGTTTTTACCAGTGTTCTTATCAAAGGAATTTTGGTAAAGAGAAACAGACTTACAAAATTGCCTGAAAACTCATATCTGCTCATAAAATGAAGATTAAAATGTTATGTCGTCAATAATTGTAGTGCAAAGAGAACATATAACATGAAAATACATAACTTCAAATCATACCATTTCCAACTTAAATTCCACAAAGAGTGTGGTTAGCCTTTGCCAAGATGTGATATAGCCAAGGTGATATCTAGTACATTGGAGCACTCGCTAATGTTGAATGTTCAATTCAATCTTCACCTCCTCTTGATATCAATTCAGTTTTTTGCCAGCATGTTAATAGGTTCACACACTCTTAACAGCGACGGGTGAGGATGGAGGCATTTGATATATGAACAAACAGTTGAGGTGGATTTTACAGGTTTAATAGATGCACTTGGTTTTAAGAAGTATCAGATAAAAATAGAATCAAGTATAAGCTAATAAGCATCATGTTTGCCTCAAAATTCTAAACAAAAATAGTCTAGATCTTAGCCTTTTTAAAGGATTGCCTCAGTTCATTGAGGTTTGCAGCATTTCTTTATGCACACGTTTCTGCAGCACAGCATTTCTGCATTTTTGATTCCTTTCTTTCTCAGTTAGTGTGCTGCATGATGATGTTTTTGTGCTTGGGATCATTGTCCTCTTACATGAATCAGTGTCAGCGTAGCTTTAGCTGTCGGATGGCCTCACATTTGAGCTGAGAATATTTTGCTTGTTGAGTTAATTAAATGACTGCATGGTACTGAACAAGGTCTGGGCATTATAAACTACTACTTGCACTTTTATGTTTCGTCAAGATTAAATTGTTTCAGGGGTTTGGCCACATGCTATTAATTTTGCTAGTAATCATAGATAATCTGTTCATGGGGGGGGGGGTGTTTCTCCCATGACTTTCCAAAGGACTTGTAGATTTCTGCTATCAGAGGCCCATAGAGTCTCAGATGTAGCTGTTTATGTCGCCACACTTTAATATACTCCAAACCAGTAAAATGCCCAGAATTCTGCAGTCAAAGAAGTGGTCTTACTTGTTAAAATATCAATAATCATTGATGATTATTAAATATCACTTGATCTGTGCCACTTGGATCTTGTTCCCCCTCTTAATTCCTCTGGATGCAGACAGTGTGTCCTGCATTTTTCATACCCTTCTTATGTGTTTTGGCTTTGCTTCTCTTAAATAATCAATATACCAGGTGGTATTTAGCCTCATTTTAAGAAATCTTGGAGTAACAGAATTTTTTATACATATTGTAGAATGTTGTGTATGGTCTCAGGCCTTTTCTCTTTTTTAAGATTTTGTTTTCAAGGGTGAAAGTTTTTAAACGCCTACATATGAAAATTTGTCTGTCGAGGATACGTAATAATGATTTTTAAAATGTTGTTACATGTACATTTCCACCCTGAAAATGTGGAAAATCAAGGTGTAGCCCCAGGATAGTTCCTCCGTGTGACCACAGGATGGCATTATGATCCCATCATGGCTCTGACTTCAGTCTAGCGTTAAATTAAAGTGATGGATGGTTTACAATTTGCATGACATCTTGATAAAAATGTCCGGCCAAGACAGGAGTCATCATCCACATCTACACAGACATCTCAATTCAGCCTTCAGTCAGATTACCCCACCCCCGTGTATATCGAATGTATATGAAATATGTATGATCCTGACATCAGAGGTGTTTTCATTTGATTTTTTTTCTACAAACCTCAGCTGAATTTATTTTCTAATTAATGCCGTGTGAAAGGGAAGTTTTCTTTCATCTAAAGTGTGCCTTCTTCTTCCTTAATCTCATACTATACCTGCCTCTAAGATCCCATATGCACTCTTTTTTAAAACATTGCTTTATTTTCTCCTCTGCTTCCTAATCAGGAGGGATTTTGAATGACATTTTTCAGCAACAAGCTGCTCACACTCACATGATTTCCACACCTTTCCTTTCATTCTCACCTCCCATCTCTTCTCTTATCATCAAATTTCATTGGACTCACACTGTTTCTTCCCCTCTGCAACATCTCTTTGTGGCTCTCTCCTTCCTCCATCTGCCCATCACTTGCACTCAGTAGAGCTTGTTTTTACCAAGCTGTTGCCTTTCTTGCTATTCCATAGTCTTGTTTGACATGCTGTCATGCTAAACTTGGAACTGTTCATCTTCTCCAAAAAATAACCACAGGGACACGCCTGCATCATTGAAACTGACAGTCTCATTTCCTGCTTCTTTTCTCTTGAACACAATGTTCACATTATTGGCATCTCTAATTATAAATGCACAAGGATCCACACAGCAGGAATAGAATGTGTGGCTCTTTTCATTTCATTCAAAGATTATACAACATGATTTGACTTCCCAGAACAACTTCAATCTGACAGTTAGAGTGGGGACCTAACGGAAGATCCCTCTGTCCTTTTTTAAATGAAGACCTGGACACTCCCATCTCTCCTTTGATTGTTCACCCTGACAATGCAGCAGTCTGTGTTTGTTCCCCGTTTGCATAAATGACACATTACAGGGAAACTCAATAGCAAGATTTTGCTTTGACGAAGGCTTGGAAGGAAATGTGAGTAAAAAAAATTAACTCTATATTGCAGTTTTCAGCAGCTAAAAAAGACAAATCAAGAAAAAAAATAGGTGGATGCGGTTGTTCTAAAAATAGACTCAGATGATGCAAGCAAGGGTCTCCCGTCGAGATGATGCGCTCGGCTTGCCTGCAGCCGTCTGTTGTAGTTCAGGGAGGGACAAAGCCCCGGCCCTGTCTGCAGGGGTTCGCCTGTGTCTCCTACCCAGCTCTGCGGCTCTCGGTGGTTTGTTTGTAAAAGGAGACTCTCGGGAGTTTCTCTGTCAGTTCAAAACCCTGTTTCATTGTCTGCAACAAAATAGCATGGAATTACGTTTAAGGACATAAAGAGACAGCCCAGGCACTCGTACCCTTCTTTGTGTGTTGGGTCCCGGAGGTGTTCTCTCTGCTTCACTGCTGTGGGTCTTATCTCCTTCCTGGCTCTTTATTGACTTTGGTATTTAATAGGCAAATCTTGCATGCATGGTGCAATAAATTGCACTGTCATCTTTTGCCATTTTGAGTTTCAAACAGCTCTGATGCATGTATGAAAACTGAGCACAAGTCTGGTGAGGGGGTCAAGGGAGAAAATAAGACATTTAGAGTCAAAGCATTGACATTTCTTAGCATTTACAAGATAAGCTGTTCACTAAAAGACAAAGACAATCATATTAGATGTATGAAACAATGTGTCACCGTCAATTTATTTCTGCAGGAAATGCCTTTAAATGTTGAAATGGTGATTTTGTATAGGTGGAACCTGAAATCAACAAAGCTTGGTCTATGACCTGCAAAGTACCAAAATTGTAATAAAGTGTATGGTGATTGTAATTAATAGGAACATCTACAATCCCTCTAAAGGATTAATTTTTCTTTGCCGACTAATCCTCATATTACAGACATATGTCAAGGCTTGATTTTTCTGTACACCTTCTCCTTTCTCCGAACTTAGAACTTGTCTCATTTGCACGGAGAAAGCAATGTCATCAGCTCGCAATCTAGACTAACATGTTTAGATGCAGTTTTGTCTGATTATTATTGTCTTTTAGAAGTGTTATCCAAAAAGAACAGAGAGATATCATTCAGGGTTACAGAAATTAATCTATGGAGACCATGTGCACAAAAGAATGGATGATACTTAATTTTTATCACAATATCAAACTTGTTGCAGACTAAATGATCCGTTAATGAGCTCAATTAGGCTACTGAAGCACTTTAATAATTGGTAATGGAATAAAATTTGAAGTGGTAGTAAGTTCTTCTATGTTTTGGTTCTCAGGTGCCCCTGCAAAGTTATTCAAATGACCTTGTAAGAAGAAAATAAACAATGCCAATGAATCTCTGGACACAGCTGTGGTAAAAAAGATTCTTTAATATGGAACAAAATCAGAGCTCAGCTCCAAGACTCCGTCCACCCAACACATTTTATAACACTGATGAGTGGAGGAGAACAAGAAAATCAAACAGTAAGATCACAATCTGTTGGCCCAAAAACAGGAGAGGCTAAAAAAAAACATGGAACGCAAAACCAAAGTGATACTGGGCTGACTTTGAGACGCCCTCGCACCCTTCCCTCCTGACCTAGGGTCTGAGCGCAGAAACACACCTCTCTACTTCCTTCCAGGGCTCTCCCACCTCCTCCCCTACCCTGATGCTCTTAACCCTCTCAGCTGTGCCCCAAACCAAGCACAGGTCGGGGTGGAGGTAGGTTTGAAGGAGCAGAGGCTTGTGTCTGGAGGCCTCTAGGTCAAGTATGCTGCCAGTTGAGAGTTTGTAGATCGCAGAGGGACATGACCAAGACGCCTTGGTTATTATCATGGCTCCAGGGAAATCGTCTGGGGGTCAGTCCCTCTGTTCTTTCACTCCACATGAAATCTAATCGTCTTTAAAATTTTGTTCACTCTAGGTTCAAATGGAATGTTTGAAGTTTCTGACGGAATGAGAAAAAGGACAGGAAGGCGAGGACATCTGTTGTGACTGCCCAGTAGGACCCCTTTACTATACAAGTACAGGGACATCAACAGAAGTACTACACAGATATGTACAGAGCAACCAAGCAACACGTTGAAATACTGAGTAATAAATGTGGTGCGGGAAAGGAAGGGTAATATTAGTCCACTACAAATGCACATATCCCACGACGTTTTTGTATGGTTGGTCCAATCTTTAAGGCTCTTTATGCTCTTGCTACAAACGGGCAGCAGTGAAGCTGCCACTACACGGATTTGAGTCTCACATCTGTGCTTGACTTTTGAAATTGGTTGCTTTGTGATTCTTCAAGCTGAGGCTGACAGCTACCCTTCTTAAAGTGGCTTTTCAATGAGACAAGGTTTGACCTGGGATGAGTTGCATGGATCCCCTACTTTTGTGCTAAATCATTCTCTGGTCCACAGAGCTCTGTCGAAAAACAAGGTGCTCTCCAGCAGCGTGAAGGGTGATGGATGGGAGTTGCTAATGGATAAAGAAACCCAGATAGATGAAGGAGAAGGGATCACTGCTAAATTAGACTCTGGGATATTCATTACCATCTGAATGGGGGAGTAAAGGGAGAATCGAGCGGAAGAAGTTGAAATCTATATTTAGTGAAATATCAAAACTAAGAGGTGTAATGAAGAAACAGCGTTGGCATGAAGAGACACACACACTGAGAAGGAGGGAATCTGCCAGCTTCAGCAAACATAGTCATCCTGCACCTTCACACACACTCACAATGCATCACATGACAATCCATATCAGGGAGAGGAGGGGGGAGGGAGGCACTGCACAGAGAGCACTAGCACTACCATGACGGACACACACCTAACACACACACTACTGCACAGGGTCCAAGTCTGCGTTCCATTGCACTCTCCCGGCTGCCAGAACCTCGCTGTGTTATTAAAGGAAAAATTTATAAACAGCTAATTCAACAAATGGACAAACGAAACACACACGTTGGATCCCACTGGCTATAATAAAAAAATAAACCAGAAACAAAACTTAGAATATAAAAAGAGCCAGTGGCACCAGGTTTGACAGAAAGCATTTTCTCAGTAACTGGCTTTTGAACAGCTCTACGCTTTTTCTTTTAGTCTACCAAGTATATACTATTAACCTTACCAGGCAGCTAAAATCTATACAGTACTGTCATTTTTCATATATTTATAGATATTTATACACTATACAAAGTTGGCAAAAATACATAAATAAATACATTAAATCAGATTGTACACATCACAATTGTGTGTTTAAAGATAGAGCACTCTTTGTTGAAGAGGAGGGACAAGGCAAGTTTAGAAAGCAGGCGAAGTAAGAGGAGTGTTACCCTTGACATCCCTTGATTGAAAGAACCACTCTCTGTATAGCAATATTTCAATATGGCATTGGATCAACAAAGTGTATTGCTTATTACCAACCTGATTAAAATGCCCACATTATGGCAAGCGCTAGATGCTGCCCTGCCTGTATCACATTTAAAACCAGTGAAGGATCTCGATTTACAGAAAGTGGTCATACTTTATTTTTGGTGTGTCAGTGGACTGTGTGGCTGCCCGTGGGACTCCCTCTGAGGGATGGCATTACAGAGGAAGGCAGAACTGTATCCACTGTCCTTCCCGGAGCCTGCTGCTGGCAGTGGCTATTGAACCGTGTCATGTCAAAGGCAGGATCGGTCCAAAAAGTAATGTGAAACTGATTATCTCCATCCGTGCACCACATACAAGCCCAGCCAGGCAAATGGCATTTGGAAAATAGCAAAGAGAATAATGTCGGTTGTGAGAATGACAGAATGTCAGGTCTGGGTTTTCTTTTTTGGTTTTTGAGTTCAATATTTTCTTATTCCCGGATGTATGCCAAGAAAAGACATGGCAAATTTTGGACATCTAGAAAAATACACCAATTTTTTCTCTTTTTTGGAATGATTAGATCTGTCGGATGGCAATTTGCACTTCTAGACTAATCCTTGACTTTTCTAGTTAAGAGTTTTAGAGCTCTGACAAATATCACTTGGCAAGGGGGAAATTATCTTGGGACAAGTTTGTGGCATCTAGTTTTACGCTGAATAAAGAGACAGAATAACTGATTCATATGGGGTTAGATTGATGGGTTGCTTCCCTATAATCGAAACCCCCCATCCTCTCCATACTTCTCTATGTATGGCCTTCAGCATAGCAGTAATGACTCCAAATTCAATGAGGGAGGCATCATCAGTGTCAGTACAGGGCCAATCCTGTCTAACACAATGGCATTACAATAAATCCCCAAGCCTATAAGCAGACGGGGTGAGATGTAATGCCAAGCTACCAGGGCACAGGGACTCCACAGGGACGTGTGCAGTCCTCTCAAACGCTGTAGCCAGAAGCAGTCTGTTTCTGATGCTTCTAACTACAATGGAATGGCGTTTATGCCATGAAAAACATACAGGCTACAATTTGTGAATTTCCTTGGGAAGTGAGAAATGTGGCATAGTCACTACTATGAATTTGGGATGCATCGGGTATCACTCCTTCCTATTTGTCTTGCCCTGGCCGCACAACACCTCCAACAAAAATACAGCGGACATCAAAAGCCCTTATTCAAGAAGGGCAGGTATAATCAGCTTCAGCATCATCAACATCACCACTGTTATTCATGAATATCATTGTTTTCTTCATCATTTCAAGTGACAAATGAAAACTCGGCGTACAACCAATGTAAAATTTTCACCAACAATATTTACATAAAGTCTTCAAAAACAGAAGGATTTTTCTTACTGCGACTTTGTAAAGAAATAAAAACAACACAAGAACACCAAGCACACACATACACACACTGACCAACAGTCAAATGTGAACAGAAAGGAAAAAAGATATTATTACTCGTTATTGTTTTTCATATTCATTTAATTACTATTCAAACAATGCTTTCTTAAACCCTGATTGGGAGAAGTCACACTGGTTTTCACCAAATGCTTAAAACAATTGAAAGGGTGAGTCAGGGGGAGGCGATGTCTCTTTGTGGAAGGCGAGATGCACACACTAACTGATTGGATAAAGACAAAGAAGACCCAGATTACTTCAGATCTCAGCCATCTCAACATGATTTAGCTTAGAAGCATCTAGCCCCTGTTGATAGACATCACTGCAGCCTGTCTCTAATCAACACACACAACAAAGTTCTTTCATTTGTTAAACATAACAAATTCAGTACTGTTAGGACAAGACCTAATCAGACTTCATTCCAGTAAAGAGAGTCATGGATAACTTAAATAAGTCATTGAACTAGTACAAGTAATACACTATGAAAAATTAGAAGGTGAGTATGACAAGGACAAACCTTATCATCAGGCTTACAAAAATATCTTGCTAATTACTTGGCAAACAGGTGGGAACCCTTCAGCCAACAGAGATCTAAGTTATTTATAAAAAGCAACCAGACAGGAACGCTGCTCATGACAATGATGAAATTTGCACACCTCTGAAGAAGATATCTCAGCAAAGATGGAGGCTCACAGATGGATATTATGCCAAACAGAGTACTACATTTTTAAATCAATTTTAGGAAATAATTGTGTCCAATTGTGTATACTTTGATTTGAAGAAGTTTGAGCTAGGAGCTTGATAAAGGGTTACAGGGAATTTCCATTTCATTCTGGGAAACAGTATCCATCCAAAACTTTGCAAGAATCATTTCACTCCCTACCCGGGTCATGGGCACCATGGTTTTCTACTAAAGCTTTCAACTAAAGGATAAGATTATGTTTATAATCGGGACCAAAGGGGTGGAACAGCACACTGGCAAAAAGTGTCAAACCACAAGCCATTTGGCTACCTATAAATAGAACAAGAAGTCTTAATGATTAAGAGCTAGAGAAAGCTGGACTTGTTGTGATAGTGAGGCAGTCTTACTCTGCAGCCATAGGTAGTAATTTCTGTCATCTAGACTTAGATTTTCGCACTCCAACACTAATTTTCTGCACATACACCTGCTCATTGGATCTGCCAGGGGATGAACACAAAGATAAAAGACAGCGCTAGGCCTGAAAACAAGAAGACCAAGCTCCCTAAGTGGAGTTGATGTGAAAATAATCTGGACTGGGAGCATCTGCAACACTGCCCTGCTGTATTCATGAGCTCAGGGCTGCTGAAGGTCACTGCTGACTTTGTTAAAGCCAAGAAAAACGCAATATTTTGAAGTGGGAGACAGGTGACAGTGTAATAAAAGTGGGATTTGGAAATTGCTTTCTGCTTTATACTGTTTGGCTCCAAGCTTACAATCAGTTTTAATGTTGTGGCTCTTTGACTACTGGCAATGAGAACATAATATTTGGGACTTCTGGTTATTTCATGGAGTGTGCAGCTCGCTGGATGATTTATTTATCAGTGTTATGCACACAGTTTCATATTGTAAATATGCTGCGAAAGCACAGGTGTTTTCACAAAAGACAAGTAAGCTTTTTTTATTGTTGGTTTCAGAAGTGATGGCCTAATATATGGACTATTGATAAGCTTGTGGAGCAATAATTAATCAATTTCAATTTTCACTATCCGAACATTCCTGTAAAGAAAATGTAAAGCAGAAGATTTCGATTGAAGAGATTGTCTGTGATCAAAAGCACTCTGAGTTTTAAATACCAATTTTATATGTTTAAAAAATGTATTTGTTTTGGTTTTTTGCCTTCGGTCTGCCTTCTGGGATATTGGGATTACAATGTGCCTCATATAGATAAAAAACAACCAAATCCTCCAGTTCATGGGGTCGGTGTCAAGTTTTCAAAACCTCACAGTTTGAAGACATGTACGTTGTGTGAAACAATGATCCCAAATTGGTTGTTAACTGCTTCTAACCGTCTTCATGGTAAAACACATAAAACTCAGGGAGGGCTGGAACTATACCTGTGTACAGGGTTACCGCTCCATATCCTGTACGATTGTTAGCAAGTTTTACCTGTGCAGAAAGTCCCCCCCAGGCATTAGGAAACAGATATTGCTCCTCTCTGACCACCTAATGGGAGCATAATGTGCTGTGACACTGCAGGCAGTGGCTGTCAAAACAGTGGGCCCTGTTCCACGGTTGGACAATTGTTCTGAAAGGTGCTGGACTGGATCAGTGCATCACAGCAGTCAGCACCGGGGCTCACATGAAGACTACTCCCCAGAACACGCTCAGAACACTATGTGCTGCCCAGACCAGCTTACAGAGACACCCAGTGGGTAGTGATCTAGTCATAATCAGACAACAGTCACCGTCACGACTGTGTCTTTATAATATCCTTTCCATTATCATATATCTTTTTAAAGCAAAGAAGAGACCTGCGTGTACTGTACAGGAAACCAAAGAAAGGATTCTGTTTCATGACGACACAGTTCTAACCTAAAAGCATTTTTCTGAGCAAATTGCTACTTTTAACAAAAACTAAAGTGCAGGAGTGGGGCAAAATGTTGAACATCTGACGGAATTATGCCAAACATGACTTTATAAATGTAAAACTGCAGTAAGCTACAGCTGTGAGACAGATGTCTGCTGGAGTGGCTCCTAATGGCTGACAGCTTTAATGGTGCTGTTTTATGCTTTATTTACAGAAATATCAAGCTGAGGTGAAGCCGGCTGCTGCTAGTACAGTTCACTATGTAGTGCTTTCGGAAACTCAGCAAAGAGATAACATTTAATCTGCCTCTACAGTATCTCACAGTGACAAATCAGAACATCATCTAATATCACAGCCATTCATAGCTCCTGTGAACTGCAACACAACTCAGAGAAAGGTTTTTGTGATCTTATGTTTCTGCCAGTATTGAAGACAAATGCTCATTCGTCTCACTGTTTCCGGATACAAACATGTAGCTCAACATCATGGACAGGAGAATAATGTGCTTACAGCTCTGACGGGCTTGTTGTCGATCTACACGTTGTGTCGACGTGTGTGTGTGTGGATGTGACAGGCATAAAAGCCTGATGTCTCCATCCAGGCTTGATATTTTCAACATCTGCAGCCAGCCAGCAGGAGTCTGGATGCTTCTAGTCAAATACACTTGCATGAGCAGGTAGGTAAATAGTAATGGCAAAAAGAAGAGGAACAAGAAGAGGAGGATAAGAGCCCTTCATCCTCTGCATTCTTCACTTAATCTCCAAACTCTGAAATCACAAAGCAGACATCACCCCTCCCCAACTGCTGCCCACCCTTTCAGGAACTCCTCCCTTCATTTTCACCATAGCAATCATCATTATCATCATCATTATTGTTTTACATTTTCCAAAAGTGCAAAATGAACTTCCCCATGCCCTCATTCAGAAGGCAGGGCAGTAGAGGATGGGGAAAGAATGGCAGTAATAAGAGCAAAAGAAGCACAAGAAGAGAAAGAGAAAAGAGAAGATTTCTGCCGAGTTCAAATTGTGTTGCTGTCGTGAACGCACACCCACCAACAGGCACACCTCAACACAACACACTGCACCATCAAATCTGGCAGAGTGACACCCCACCGCACAAAACAATTGCACAGGGCAGCACAAAGCATTCAAAGTATCAATAAGAGAGAAGTGTGCGCACATATCTGAACGCTTGTGCACAAAATGTACAAATTTAGCTACTTTCACATTTGACGACTCTTTCCTCAGTTGGCGATGCTGTGAAAAGTGACATCTTAGTATCTCAGGATGGAAAGATTTGCTTGCTTTTGACTTCGATTTGTTTGGTTTTCTTCATCTTCTTTTTTCTCTCTCTGTGTCAGGGCTTTTTTGTCTGGAAAAATCAGGAGCAATCCATTTCACAAGTTCATGTCTCCGCTTTTCCAGCTTTAGTTTTTTTTGTTGTTTGTTTTTTTGTTTGTTTTTTCAAATTTCTTATTTAGTTGTTGGAGCTACAGCACAGCACCCACAGCACACAGACGACAAGAGGGCTCTAGATAAAGGGGTGGGTTAGGGGGTTGGAGGGAGGTGTTTATTTACTAATATTGTGCCAGAAGTAGAGTAAGGGATGGTAGCTAGAGAAAAAAACAGGGGAAAAAGAGAATACAGAGTGAATAATTGGATGGAGAGAAGAAAATACAGTTTCAACAGTTTCATCTTGTGTTCAGCTGGATTAAAGAAAAACTATGTTTTCCACTGAACACTAAACTAGTCTCGAGTAAGGAAGAAAAGGCTGAGATTAGAGAAACTATAGAACACTCGAGACAGATGAGAAGGATCAGTGGACAAGCGAAGAGACAGAGGAGGGGTAAAACAGTGGACAGATAATGGACAACACATTGTTTTCTAGGTATGTGTCAAGGGGAAGTTCTGCCAATCTATTTGTATAATATACCAACATGTATATGTACATATAGTACATACTGTATAACATTGTGTGTGTGGAGTATTCACACAATAGGATTGAATGAGTTTAGACCATTGGTGAAGGTTTTGTGATCCCATGGGACTGGCAGCTTGAATGGGTCAGGGCTGCAGTGCAGTTCAGAACTAAGGGATCGACAAAAAAAAATATTATCAGACCTCCACAGGCAAAGTGCATAAGGACAGACAGACATACAGACAGTCAGAAACAGGGGGACCATTGGCAAAGTGGCGAGAAGCAGAAATTAGAAAACAACAGTGCAAGAGGAGGAAACAGAAGAGAGGAGCGGGAGAGGAAATTGAGATTTCAAAACAAAAGAGAAAAATAGTTTAAAGGTTTAAGAGAGCAGATGGCTAATTGTACCCGTGTTTCGCAGCCTGGCAGCAAGTCAGTCTTGTGCATAAGGACGGGAGGGGGAGGAGGGGAGGGAGGAAGGGTAATAGGAGAAGGGAAGGAGGCCATGGAAGAAGCTGGGGCGGTGCAATCAGGCCTTGAGAGCGTGCCACTGGGCAACGTTAGTACGCGGCCGAGCGAGCATGTCCTTCCAGTGCTTCACTTCTGCTGGTCCACTCTTCCACGATAGATAGATCTGAGGGTGTGATGAGAAGATAGACAAATCAAAAACACTTATTGAAAAAAAAAATCACTGCAAGCCTTTGTCTTTTCACACGTATCATTTAGGTAAATGTTGCTCCCTTCAGGCAGAGCAGCTCTACAATTTTCATGCAGTATTTGGTGTCTGCTGCTTTGGAGGGAGCTGTTTCACTGCTGGAGAGCAGAAATGAGCTGGGATGTAAGGAAATGAAGCAAGAGCTCTGGTCTCAGTACACCCACAGGCTGCATTATTCATTGAGTTCAAATGTTATTTTGGTTATCTAAATGAATGGCACCAAAAGCTAAAGATATCAACAGCCAACATTCACAACCTTTTTCCACGTCAGATATTACTGACTTAATCTTTGTCTATTTAAGGATACAGCGCTGGGCAAACATAACGAGTGATTAAAAGGTGAAGCTTACATCCAGAGAAATTTTCTCCCCACAGTCAACGATTGAAAGATGTGTCATGACTGCCACATAAACTAGCAAACTTGGCAAGAGTATTGCAGATTCAAACTAATTCCATGCAAAAATTATAGCAGAATTCAGAGTCAGTCACTGAATCATGAAAATTATGATCTGGAAGCTTTAGAAGAAGAATGGGCAAAGACTCGACAAGAGAAAGTCAAAGGGTGAAATCACATGTCAAACATTATTAAAGCAGCCTCATGCTTCACCAAGTAATAAGCTTGAGGGCTGAATACTTTATATTTGTCGTGGCAATTTTGTTTTCAAGACTCAGTATTCTACATTTTTATGCAACCATAACCCTAACCCAACTTCAATAACAACTCCCAAAATAATTTTAGGATAGTGGTGATTTTGTTCATTTTTTCTTATATAAAATGATGTTCTGAGCTAAATCAACCATTTGCCAGAGTGATAAAAAAACTCAAGAAATTTGTTGTGCCCTGATTTTCATTGAGTCATTTAGGTGGTGAACAGTAGATGCCAGTCTACATTGTTTCATTCATTCCTGAACAGTCTCAACAGTCAATTTCACAGAGTAAGCTGAATGTCTCAGTTGGGACCTCCTGATGGTAGTTTTATCAAGGTGTGTCTTCAGGCCAAAATGTCAGATACCTTCATACATATGAAACAGAAGACTAGCGCTGGTGAACCACTGCACCACACACAACTCTCAACATGTCATTTATTTCTTTCTACTAGATTTTGAAGAAGGATACTTTCTTGTAATATTTCAAAGTGCTCATGACTCATATTTCTATCACTGTTTTCTTGGTTCACTGGCAGTATTTTTATCCATTTTCAGTATGCCCAACTATGCACCAGAATTGGCTTTTTTTTATGTATTCAGTGATTTGAACCATTAGCATAACACAGGACCTGACAAAAAGTATGAACCAGTATTTTCTCAACAACATAACAAGGAAACAATATTAAATTGTATGTTTGATCATGTTATAAGAAAGATCCATCCATCCATTTTCTGGACTGCTCGTTCCCAAATGGGGTCACTGAAGCCTATCCCTGTATTCAACGGGAGAGAGGCGGAGTACACCCTGGCAGGTTTTATAAGAGTCTGTCAGAAAGACAAATAGAAAGTTCCTATTTTCCGTAAAGATTTACTGATTGATAAGAAACAAAAATTGGTACATCTTGATGCTCCATAATAAAGACCATAAAAGAGAAACTGGACTGATAGAGGAAATGGCACTCTTTAACTACAGGAATCTACAAAACAGCATCTGAAAATGATGTCCTAAAGATACTGGGAAGACATCCTGCCATGTCTTCATACAGGACCTGAGAGATGGAGCTGCACCTTTAGCTGATCCATCTACTGTTCACCGAAGGTTTGTCAGAAATGGTCTCCATGGAAGGGTGGCTGTCAAGAAGCTATTTTTGAGGAAATGAAACTGGAAGAAAAGGCCAAGGTATGATAAATGAACTGAGCTGAAAATCAGTAGCAGCTGGTTTTATGGAGTGACAAATCCTCCCCAGAGCCTGGATCTCTTCATATTTGAAGCATGTGGGACAGAAAATGGAACAAAAGGCAGCCAATATACAGTACGAAGAAGAATTTTCAGATGTCCTTCATGAAGCCAGGGAACAATAAACTAAAGGAAAACTTGTCTATGAAGGTTCAGGCTTTGATGCAGAACACGGGTGACCATATTAAATATTTAAAAACTATTTTTGGCTTACATACCGCATGTTAACACATGTTTTTCAAAGAGTTGCAGACATATTTTGAAATTTCTTTATAGTTTGTAAAGAAATTAAGGGTGAAGTGATTCAAAATATTTGAACAACATGAGATTCAGATATTTAACTAAAGATATATTTAAATTAATATAATATAAAAGTCATACAACCATGTTTTTCAGTGTTTTTTTCTTGGTTTTCTGTGATGAGAGCTGCTGAGAGTAACCGCTTGTGGTTCTGGGACAGCTCACCTTGCCAATAACATCGTTGCGGCTGAGCCTGTCCTTGTCCATGACGGTGATGATGATGGTTGTCTCCCTCAACACATGGGCAGGAACGTCGAAGGGGAAGGACTCATTGAAAACAGGGTTCAGACAGCGTTTCATCACTACTGTCTTCTTCTTCTCCACGCGCTTGTCCTTGTGCATGAGCCACACCTTCACATAGGGATCTGCAGAGTGGATGCAAAGAGCAGACATTTACATGAGTGGAGGGGGGGGGGGTGCATGAAGATGCTTGTGGTGATTTTTGGGGTCAGGTTAGCAATTACCCTCTTAATTCTTAAAGTCAGGGGAGGCAGTAGGGAAGCAGATACTTGTTTGAGTTCAAGGTCAACCTATTCCCTGAGCTAGGAAATATACAAATGAGGAAGTATTTCTGGAAATAAGGCCAGAGATTTGTACTACCAATTCTGGAGCATTATTATATTCGGTAATAACAACAGCTGCCACTCACAAGTGCTTCACAAAGATTGAATTTCAGAAAAGTGTGGCAGAGAAAAAAATTCACTGTAAAACGTTCAAATCTAGCACCAACCAGACATTTGGCCGGGAGGCTAAAGATCCTCATAGATATACAAACAGAGAGGTCTAGGGAGATATGCTCGACGCAAAGTCACCTTGCTGCTGCAGTGATTTACAGTGGGCAGTAAGCATCCTCAGTGCAGACAATTCAGTAAATATTTGACGTTGTGTAGACAGTCATATGTGAGGCCACAATGCTTCCAAAGTCACAAGAAGCAAAATCAGTGGTAAACACTGGTTAGAGCAGGAAAAGACGGAGCCAACACAGAGGATTACTTACCTGAGGTCCCTCCGATATCCATGGCTTTAAGATTGCGCGCTTTGATGATGTTCACAGTGATGGTGTTAGCAGTGGGATTATAGCACAGAGACACCAGCAGGTCTCCTCGTCTCCCCTGAGGAACACCACAAATACAATGGAGTGTGAATCGCATGAGTATGAGCCAATCATATGAGCGAATCGTATGAGTCTCATATCAGATTCCCTGGGGGCATATCAAACTCCAGACTACTCACTAGCTTGTATGGGTAATGTTACATCACTGCCCTTTCTTCTCTAACCCCTTGTACCAAACACAGATGGCCCAGTACCGATGCTGACTTAGCCGAGCACGTTGCTCACCCGAGAATTATGTCAACAGGGCTCACATGCCGAAAGCAGTCACCAAATCTGTTGTTGTTTGTTTGTTTTCTGGGGATGGAGGGGACTGAATACAAATGGAATTCAAAGAATGTTCTTTTGGTCGTGCCAAATGGCCATCAGTTCAATTCTTACACTGCCATCACTGCAGGGTTTGAGTTCCTTCCAGAAGGTCTTCATCTGGCCCAGTTCCACCTTATTCAGGGGAATTGACACTTCTCCAATGGGGTCATTCCTGCTAAAGCGGTCATAGTCCAACACCTGGAGGTAGAGAGTGCGCTCTCTCACCTTCTCATAAGGGAAGCCTAAAAACAGACACAGAACAGATAACACTGCAGGGGGAGTTAAGGACACCTAAGTCACAAAGAGCTAAAAACAGTACTGTCAGCGGCCATAACGGTACACCCAGGGCACTCTAATGAGCAACATCCAAACAGGGATGAATTTAGAAAAGGCCAGGGTGGGTTTTAAAAGCAGTTGGACGAGAGATTTTTTTTCAAATAACCCAAAGGGATAATTATATACAGTTTTATCATTCGGTCAGACACAATGTAATGAAACCTGCACAAAACAGGGATGAGACGCTTATCTGTCACCTTCACCTCTAAAAGAAACCATCTGAAGTTTTCATTTTCTATTGTCTCCACACTGGAGGCATTATAAATTAATTTTGAGAATTATTTTAAGGTGAAAGACAGCTCTTTTATGAGGGTATACCAGGCTCCACAGGAATGATGTGGTGTGCATAAATATGTGCTCACAAGCACTGATAGAATTTTTAGCAGACACAGTAATAGCTAAACAGTAACATAGTTTTCCATGCTAATGTTGTGTACAATTTTAAACATCTAGCACAAATACTGTAAAGAATAAATCCTCTTTGTTTATGACAAACCATTGCAGTCTCAAGGCCCAAGGTGGTTTAATCTGGCAGTAACTCGCATGTAAAAGTCGATACAATTGTTACATTCAAAGCTCTTTTTTCAGAAATAACCCTGTGCACCTTTCCATCACCCCAGAGTTAGGACAGAAGCCCCAACATATTACGACATTGGCATGATAATCTGCATACGCCCAAGTTACTTTTGATGGGAAATTAACAGCACTATAGAACAGATTTTGGGGGGGCAGCTCAACCACCTCTGGCTTTTATTTGCATTTTTATTTATTCATTTATTTTCTAAGATTGTTATGTAGACAGTGGACAGACAGAAATAAATTGTGGGAAGACATGCAGGAAAAGGACCAGGCTGTGACCTGAATCCAGGTCGCCTGCACTGAGCAACTACTATGTCTGTAAACAGGACATTTCCTCAACCAGCTGAGCTTTGGGCCGCCACGTTGGAGTGTTTTTAGGACATATACTGTCATAATAAAACTGTCATAAATATACATTCAAAACTATTACAAAAATGAGCACACAATGACACTACAACTCAAAAGTTCTAAAAGTCATCACCTTTTCAAATATTCTGTGTCAGACAAACATTTTTACATGTAATTTAAAAGCCAAGCTTTTCAATAGCATATGGTGTGAATATGCATGCTGAAAACACCTGAAATACTTTTTTAAAGAAAGGGGAAAAGACAGACCCTCGAAGAGGAAGGTTTCGTTCCAGTGGGGGTTGAGATTCTTCCTCTTGACCTTGGTCTCCAGCTTGTGCTTCTTGTCAGGCAACAGGTATATTTTGACGAAAGGATCTGAGGTTCCGGAGAAGTCCTTGGCCGGGAGCTCCTGGCCTTTGAGAACTTTGACGGTGAGGGTTGTGTTCTGGAAGCTGTAGCCTATGCTGAACTGAATGCGGCCCAGTTTTTCACTGATTGGTCCTTCACCATCATCATCCTCTGAACCTGGAGACAGCTGCAGGGCCACGAATGCAGAGGAAATGATTAGAAACACTAACTCATCCTGCCGCAGCCACTCACGTGAAAGGTTCAGTCCAAGGGCACGCACTCTGTGTATCACTAGCACACAGGCAAACACAGACCTTAACTGAGAGAAGCTGTGAGGAGATGAAATTTGAGAGTCACGTTTCTATTGCAGCATACTCAAGCAGCTGCTCCGTGGTAGAGATTGGTCTGATGTTAAGAAGACTGAGAGAGTTTAATTTCCCTACTAATGTCCTTAAGAGGCAGGAGGCGCTCAGATTGAAGATAGGGAGCTTTCGATCCCCCTTTCACTCTCATAGCCACTCTGACTGCTTTATCACTGCTTTGCACTAAAAGGACTCTCTCCGATAATAGCAAGGGACAGGGAGAGTAAAAGAGAGGGCGAGGGACAAAAAGGAAGAAAGGAAGCATTGCGTGCAAAGTATTGAAAGAACAGTCAGGGTGGCACAGCTCAGTGTTGGCATTCTGGATCTGAACTGCCTGAACAGTCACTCTCTGTCATCCTGTGAGTCCACCTTCTGTCTTTGTCCTTAAAGTTTTATTTCTCCTCCTCTAACAATACCATGAATTGGAAGAAAGAATGGAGGACTTTGTGTGGAGATAACCAACCCGCACTTCATTAATCCACTTTGTTCAGAAGCCATGGCTGACATTTGAAAATGAAGACCTGCCACATGAGTGTTTCGCATACAAAAAAACACTCCAAACATGACCCGAAATTGTTGATTTTTGTTCTTTGTTCCAGAGAAACTATTTCAAAGTGACACAGACTTACTCATCATTCATCAATATGGCTTTTACAGCTATCAGGCAGAACAATAGTGAAGAAAAGAAATGTGCCCGTTATAATTTGTCAAACAGTGAGAGTCACCTTGAATGGCTTGTCTCACTTGATTGCCACTGTGAGAACGGCCTGTGTGATATTTTTTCCTTATTACGGCTCCCTCATTACAATTTCCAGCTTAAGTGCAACCTGCTATTTGTGCTGAAAATGACCTGGTAACTCAGCTCCCACATGTACATGATGGCTGGGATTTAACTCATACTGCCAAGCTAAACGTGTACACTTTACAATAAAGACTTTTTTCCCACTCACTCCATTTTCTCTTTGGTATTAGAACAGTTTCACATGGTGTACATGGCAAGCTTTCTGTTAATCACAAAAAAGAACAGCTTGTTAAAAACGTCGTCAGGATTTTAATTGATTTAAAACCAAAGTTCTGCTACTGTCACTACACTAATCGAGCTGGAGGAGTTGTTTCGCATCATGTAGATGTAGAATTTCCTAGAAGACTATTACTGCAATATTCTAATCAAATTTAGTTTATCTCTATGCATCTCTTCCAATTTGCTAACATTCGAATGGGGTCTCTTACCATCACCATGTCTCCGGTGAGAGAGTTGGCCAGGTCAGTCACAGAGGAGTGGCCATCAGCATCTGGGGGCTGGCCCTTTGGGCTGTTTGCTGGCTTGTTCCCCCTGTAAGCAGAAACTGAGGTTGACAAAGGTACAGCAGTGAGGACATGCGCTGAGAAGCTTACTCATCTACAGAAAGAGAGAATGTCTGAGCACTCGGGGAGTCCAACCTCCACCTGTTTTGTGGTTGAAAATGCCTATCTGAAACGATGAATTCGGTCCAGGTTTACTTTGGATACATGTCACTTCAGAGTTGAATGAGCTTTCTGTAGCTACCATGAGCGAAGCCAAATACAATCTGCCAAAGATTCCACACATTAATGATGGGCACTAAAACTGAGTACAATTGATATGCAGAGTTATGTTTGATGAAAATTGGAGTCTGAAATAACTATGGATACATCTAGAGTGGCAAACATCCAATATCTAACAAGAAAGTTACCTCAACCAAATAGACAAAGACATTTTAGACAGAACACAGAACAGAGCCACTAAACTAAAAATTGATAGAAACCAATTCTTTATCACCAGACCCTGGAGAGCTTCTGATCAACACTTATTCCCTCTGAAGATGAGACACACATGTATAATGACATATATAGCAACATGACGTTACTATAACAACAGTGAGCAGACAAGTACGGCAACATGTAGAGGACACACGTTGATTAGGTTTCTCTCAGTAGCACGAACGACACAAATGATTTTCAGAAACATAAAGGAGAGAGCATAGATCTCCAATGGCACAGCTGGCTCTAAAGTACAAATGTTATTAGGTGTTAAGTTTAGTTCCTGTACACAGGGATGGTCGAAAAAGCATGTGGAATAAACACTCCGGAAGAAAAATCCCTATGTTCATACATCAAAAACATAAATCACAAAGAGTAAATTAAAGGAAAACAGCAAGAGAAAAATAATCAGAGGAGTAAAAACAGTTATGAGATTAAAGAATGTATGAAAATAGACAGAACAAGAAAGAGTCAAATGCCAAATTCTTGACCAGTGTAGTGTGACGCAGTGGAAACACAGCACTCCATTTAGATGACTGGTCAAGGCACAAGGAAAGGCTGAACACTGAGACACCACTTGGCAATGAACGGACAAGGAAAACCAGAACTGAAACACAGAAATACAGACAAATAAATACAGAGGATACTTAACTTGCATACACACATGTCATAAATAAAAAGGACTTCAGAGGAGGTAAGACACAAAAAGGAATGTGATATATACACAAGCAAGCTGAAAATTATTAATCTGTATTAGAAGAGATAGCAGGTATTAACAGCATGAACAGTACGAAAAACAAAACCAAAGAGACTGTGAAGTAGTTACAAACACCAGCACATTATAGAAAAACAGAGCTGTAGGAAAAGATAGTAAATGAAGGAAGGAAAGCCTGGAAACACAAGAGAGGCTTAGTTTGGTCAGTAAGTATCAAAGAATAAGACCAAAAAAAAGAGCTACACAGACACAATATCTCAAACAGGAGACAAAAGAGCACACATGCTAAAAGGAGAAAAAGAGACACAAAGAAAAAAGAAAAGGACAATTGATCATCAGGATAAAGAGGGCAAAAACAATCCTTCTTTACAAGGAGAGCTCAAAATAACTGAGAGATGAGATATAACATGAAAGGTAAATAAAGTGAAACACCATACAAAAGTATAATTTCACTCAAAACACAAAAAGGGACAAATAGTAAGAACATAGGAAGAGCACATTTAGAGTGTTACAAAAGAGGGCGTTGAAAGAAATTGACTAACTTCAGGTGATAAAGTTATTTTAACACTAACCTGATTTTCCAACCATTTAGCAACACTCTAAAAGTGTGGACTGGGAACACTGGGGCCAAAGCACGATCTGGCATTGGCTACATGTGCATATACGATATATGCAAGTAGTTGTCACTCTGAGAGTGAAGGCAATGCCTTGGACAGGCAATAAACAAGTAGCCCATAGAAAGTCTGTCTGTCTGGCCAGCATTCTCTGTCGAGCTTTTCACCGAGAGAATGTAAGTATTTGCCGGGCACGCTGAATTGCGAATTTGGATGAAAACTGATGCTGAATGCAGTAATGTGTGCATTTTTGCAAAAGACATAAGACAAAACTGGGGGGAAATATACTGACAAATAGACAGACAGAAAAAGCAAGCAAACAAGACAAGCAAATAGACAGTCACTTCACCCAGCAAAGGAACCAGAGTGAGACGGGGGGGAAGGAGGGATGTTAACCACTTCAAGAAGGGAAGGATCAGTCACCAATTGCTGTTAGTTGTATTAGCTGCCAAGGTGGGTAATTCAATTTTCATAAGGCCTGTTTATTTGTTTCTACAGACTCTAAACTGCAGGCACCGAGTTTGAGAAGAGAGAAAAAGGACTGGATCAGAATATGAGGAAGTAATCTAAAGCAAGGAGAGACTTGTAGGGATTGAAGTAAAGCATGGCACCTCCCTCCTCCTCCACCTCCCAAGTATCGATGGGGGAGTGAAAATCGTCAATTATTCATTCTCCTTCATGCTTCATTCAGGGGTTCAGTGCATTCTCAGGTAAGAGCTACTGCAGCCAGGGGAACGGCCTCTCTACAAGCCTTGCTCTCCAGCACCTGAGGTGGTCCTCTGCTCCCTGCCTCCAGGCTGCCAAACAAAGCAGCTGGAGCTGAAGCTCTTCTGGATCAAACAAGTCTCCATCTCCGAATCAGACATTTCTCCATGAATTGAAGCGGATGATTAAGTCCAGTTTATTTAATTTCTTAAAAAGCTATATTGATTGTGGCAGATGGTGGAGCTACAACTGCCATATTTTGGTGCCAATGCTTTTTGTGTCCAACCGCTCAGGAGTCGGTGTGGCTGATATGATTCTGTAAAGCCTGCAGTTGTCTACAGTATCCAGTGGGAGGCAGAGTGGACTCAGATCAGATTCTCCCACAGCTAAGTCACTGAAAGTGGGCTGTTGGCATGGCAACGACTCTTGAAACACAGACCATTCATATGGGGGTTTGGGGTGTGTGTGACAAGAGGCTGTTGGGAGTGGGCGCAAGGGAAGGGTGTGTTTAGGGGGGGGTGCAACAAACAGGCAAAACACAGTGAGACCAAGATTGGGCATAGGATATATGACAGGTACAGGTGAGAGCCTCGCAGACACACACATTCACATGAACGAACATATGGAGGCAGGCGGGGCCACTTTGGGTTTCACCGTCCTGTGATACTATCCTGTTTTGTTACCTGACCGAGGGCCAGCAGCTCGAAGAGAGGGGGTAGGGGGGGAAAGACACTCCACTTCTAGGCTGGAGAGAGACGCGAGAAAAAAAGCCCAACCCAACCCCCCTGGTTTTTTTTTAACATTCAGACTCCCCACCCCTCTACAAACATGTCACACTCAAACAAACCCGCTTTCCTGAGACCATGAAGTGATATATTTCAATGTCTATGCTCAATTTCATAGTCGCCCACTAGATCTATCATCCTTTAGGCGGGCAGCATACTTCCCAGGATCATAGTGAACACCACAGCAGACCGTTGCTTACATAACTCACCATCCACATGAAACACATCAACATTCACACTGGAGTCAGACACTCAGCTCTGGTGCCTATCTTTTTAGGCTATTACCAAAAAATTAGGCTGACAATTCAAATTTTGATGCCTCAACTGTCCTCTAATTACTTCCTGCTGTTAGTGATTACAAAAAAAAATTATTATATGAATTACTGAAATATTTTCAGGAACAAACAGCTGGGGGATGGGCTAGAGCAGTGTGTGTATAAGCTTCTTTCATGTAACTCCAAATGGGAATAAAAAACCATAACATGTTCATGTTCATGCATTTGGCAGACGCTTTTATCCAAAGCGACTTACAGGGTAGGGAGGAGCTGTTTTGGCCAGGAATCGAACCCAGGTCAACTGCTTGGAAGGCAGCTATGCTAACCACTACACCACCACTCCTATCTCCTAACCAATCGAGCCACTTTCAGATATTGACCTGTTCAAATACTCTTTCATGGTTTCAACATAATACTTCCTTCAGCTTTAGTTTTTTATCAAATATTGAAAATTAGCAACATGATAACAATAAGTTCCAAAGGTGAGCCTGGAGTTCCTAATTTTGCTTCCTTTAATAGCCTCCCAATACTCTTTGCAATTTGGTATTCATACCTCAGAGCTCAATTACAACAACTAACCCTTCAGTCCTGGCAATATCAGCAACACAAAGTCATCAAACCATTTTAAATGCTCATTAGGACTCCAAGCGTGAGTCAACCTAATGTTATGAATCCTTATTCATTTCAGAGTTTCCCTCGGAGGCGGAGACACAAATCCCGTCTGTTCTGATGCAGGACACAGGAAGCCCAGGTTAATTCTCCTAATAACCTATCCTCCCCTCAGCCAGCCGTTTATCTGATTGTACGAGACGACCATGTGTGCCTGCATGTACCTGCTGGCTTGATACTGCCTTTGGCTCTAATGAATGAATGCGAAGAGTACAATGCACTTTGTCCCAGTACTCATTTCCCAAAGAAGTAGATTTGCACTTTGAGATTCCTCCCATTTCTCCAATGACCTGTGAAGTTATGAATGTGTGAAGAATTTTCCATTCAAGTCCTTTTCTTTGAGTGACTTTTTTCTCTCTGCTTAATACTATAGTAATCTAACTGAATGCACGCCCCCCCCAATGATACGAGGATGAGCGCCATGGCCACAGGGAGCCTCAGCCTTGGGGACAGTCTTAGGCAGAGCCCCTGAAGACTGTAGATTAGTCAGGCTTTCAAAGCCCTTGTTACTGCAGGAGCTCTGTATCAGACTATCGTGGCAGAGTATAATCACTTCACAGGTTGATGTACAAATTTCCTTACAGGTTGCATTATATTTCAAGCGCAACTGTTTTTTTCTGGAAATCTAAGGAAATTATTACTGTTTCAAACTGTTTTCTTTAGACGTTCTAACATTACAGTGGTTCTGAGGTGCAAAACACAACAACAAATAAAATAAAAACAATAAAACAACAAATATTTTTCACAAATAATATAAAAAAAACACAAAAGAAAGCATTATATTTGGAAAAACATAAGAAAAATTCTGTTTATAGGACAAATCATTTAAAAACCTGTTTAAAAAAACAAAGCTCTACAAAATAAAAAACATTTTATGACACGCAAGATTCGACAAAACATATCAAACTGTGCATTGGAAAGTGTGGAATGTTATCTTAAATACTTAAGACTTTTTTCAACTCGGAAGTGTATTTTCTGAAAAGTTGTAGTGTTTCACAGCTCAGGTGGTATTGTTACATATGTAAAAAGAGACCTTCTATTGACTTTTCCTCAGATCTTTTCGTTGGTCTCACTGGAAAATGTCAAGGGGTGGAGAAAAGGTGGCGGGACAAATATGTCAGGACTTAGATGGAGACAACCCTGCTGCTTTGAGACCCCAATCACACTCACACTAAGCTTTGACCTGAGCCTGTCTTACAAAAAGTGCTTTGACAATGTAACATAGTTGCTATATTACATATGCGCCATATTTACTTAGTTGAAATATAAAATATGGTGTTATTATCAATGTTGATAATTACAAGAGATCCTCAGATTGGAATTTGACCAACTTATCATCATACCTCCCATACAGGTACGTCTGGGTTAGGTCTCTGTTAGAAAAACATTTCTTATTATTAATACTATCATCTATCTAGACCCACAATTTCCTCTTAAATCTAAGTTTAGGACCATTGGCTATCGTGCATAGAGATATGCATCAACCTACACTGTATAAAGATTCAACTCATCCCTCTGAGACTCAGTGAGGGAACAAGCACACTCAGAACTTAAATAAACACACATTTATATTGATTTAGTTAAAGTGGGTTATATCTGGCATCCACTGTGTTTGTTTTCCATGTCAAGTTAAGCTGTGTAATAAGCTCATAAATTATTGAGTGATATTATATGGCCCACATGGCAATTACCAGTCAGAGTCTCACAGAGTGCATCATGCCTTTGAAGGACAGAAATATACATCCATCTCTATTAATATCAGAAATAAGAAAAGCCCACTGTCTTACACAATATGATGTAACATGCATGGATGAATAATTAAAGGACCTCAGGCAAGTGGGCTGAATGTTCATTTGGCACAAGGATATACATTCCACCTCTTCTATCCTGAACCTCCATCCTCATTGAGCTGTGAAGTTGCTACTTGGAGATAGATCTAGACTGAAAGCTCTTAGGGATGTGACTTCTCTTAACAGAAATTAAGAGATGGAGAGAACCTAGAGTGTATGTTCATTGAATCACAAAAGAATTGTTTGAATGATCAGTGAGGCATTAACAAGCCACTCTAGCATGCTAATTAGGTCTTCTAAGAACCACATCCAATGCCTGCTACATAAACATCTCATCATACAACCTTTCCACTCTGCCTTTTAACTTTGGTTGGAACGTCTTTATCAGTCCTCTGCTGTATTTCAAACTGTCTATCCATCCCTGCCTCACTTCACCCAGTCATCGGGACAATGGATAATGAATATTACACACTACAACACCTTCTTACAGAGAGTGGGGGAAACAGTTTTGTTATTTGGGTTGCATCTAACTCGCAACCAGCAAGCAACATTGAAGCATTAAATCAATACAATGTTGTTTTGCCTCAAGTGTTTTTTACATTTTCCAGAGATTAAAGTAAATTTTCTCAGAAAAAATCCACAAGTAATACTCCCTGATTCTGATGATTTACCTATTAAATCAATCAAAAGTAGCAACACATTAATCGAACAATGGTCGTCTGCGAGCTTAACTATCGAATACATCAATACATCTCAAGCATTTTTCAAACTAACAGTAACAGCGATGCATTAAAATGATAAGTGATAAGATTAAAGCAGCTCATATTCAAATACTGTGATGCATAAGCAGCATTTTTCTGTTTAATCTGATCAAACTGAAGCTGATTAGGGCTGTTGGGGAAATGGAACAAACAGAACAAAACAGAAAATGCAAAAATGCATAAAGTGCCACATTAAAGAGAGAACAATGCAATGCTTTTTGCTTTGGTCTTCATAAGTCATCACGCTTTTTGTTTCATTATGCTTTCTGAAATGATGCATTCTCTGCTCTGTTGTTTTTTCATATGCCGCATCTTCTAGGATTTGCTTTTCATTGTGTGGTCTGTTGTGAATTGTTGTTCTTTATTTTTTTGTAGTAGTTTGTTAGGAAGATGAGTATTTTCACATGTTTTCGTTTTATTCCTGCATCGTTTCTCTTTTTTGTGTCTCAGGAACACTGTACAATTTGCTTATTGGTACAGGATAACATGCCATGAATAATAGAAAATGCTGGCGAAACTTTTAATAATGCAGGATCTACTGCTGTATGAGTAAAATACCAATACTTACAGATGTATCTGAGTACAAGTACTTTGTAACCACCGGTAGATTGACTTATGTAGGGCACCTCATTTCAGTTGTGCACAAAGGAACTCTTTGCTATTCATCAGAAGTAGAGACACATTCACTTTGATGTTGGCAATGATAGTGTTAACATTTGGGACACACATTAACTAATCATGTTAACTTCAGAGGCTTTGTGTTTGGCTTAGCCGGTGATATGCTGTTCAAACTAAGCATAATAAATGCATGAGGGTAAAATGAGCAATGCAGGAGAAGATGAGTGATGAGATCAAACACATGTCTGAATGAAAAGGCGGTGATGGCGTGCCATACACAGGGTCAGAGACAAATGAAAATGCAGCTTTGTCTTTGGTTCGAAAGCTCTGTTTAGAATGAACAATATGCTAAGAGCATGATTGATTAAATCACGGAAAGACATCTGTGAAGTCAGCACTAACACCACAGGGAACAATATACTCCCAGCAAGCTTACACCTTGCATTTCTAATAAGCGGTCGACATTAGGACATTAATTTGAGCATCTAAATTTAGCAGCCAATTAAAGTGTACCAGAAAAACATCCATCATACATTAAACTATATTTGTTATATTGAATTTCACAAACAGAACAATACGCAGCTCAAAAGGAATAAAATGACATACATCCAAATCTTTATTAGTCCTCTTTTGTTGGCAAACTATGAGCTGCCACTCAGTCTGTTTTGAGTGAATGAAATTAAATGAACTGAAGGTTAATCTTGAAAATACCCCAATGCTCTCAGTCACTTTTAATCGATGTGCATCCAGAAGGCCACGCGCTGGTTCCTACATGCTGTTTAGTCTATTAGCAGATTTCACAACCCATTTAAGGAGGTTTCTAGGAGAATACAAAAAGCTGGAAAGGCCATATGTAGTGTATCCAGCAAATTACACAGAGCAAATGCATTCCTTTGATGCAAAAACCAGCTGTTTGCATTGAGATGCTGGAAATATTATTCTTTAATAATCATAAGTAAGGGGGAGAATTTGGCTTTGTTGCAGCTGTGCAGTCTGGACACAGTTACCATCTGCATTGTAATGGAGGCCAGGTTTAAAATCATGTGTCAAATTGATGAAACACTTGTGAATGAGGAATAATCAGTGTGACGAGTACATCAGAATTTGTTCTCCCTCCTCTGCCATTTTATTTCAAGGTGTGTCATATTATGTATCTCTAAATTGTCTTCCAGTCACTGCAAAATCAAAGTGAGGTCAAAACTGGCTAATTGGACTGCAGGGGAAATGGAGTGTGCCACATGTGCTTGAGGCTGGGGCAAACAAAAGCTTCCACTCCAACTCTGTGGTTTCATAGACTGCTTCAAATAATCTACAATCCATGACCACAAGTCTTGAGCTGTTTGTGTCAGAAAATAGACTCACTGTATTCATTTCCTAAAAAATTGTTCCAAACCCTGAAGAGAGCGCAAACCCAGTTATTTTAAGGGACGGGCAAATGCGAGCAAAGTTTGTGCATCCTCATAGATGAGAGGAATTTATTTATTTTTTGCGTGTAAGTTGGCTGACAAGGAATAGGGTTATTTTTAGCTGCATGTTTATGTAAGAGACTAACATGTCGTGGAATAATGAGGAGGCTCTCTGGGCCCTCTGTGGAGCTTCAGAGACGAGACTCACAGAGCAGCAGAGGGTGATTGAAGGAAGCTAATGAGCACGAGGAGAAGAGGAACACAGAAGCAGAAAGGACTGGGATAATAAAAGCATGAAAAAGAAAACATAACAATTACCAGTGGGAGGTCTCCGAAAGGATGGAGTAAAAAAGACTAAAAAAGGTTAGAATCGTGGGTGAAAATGTCATTTTGATTGGGAGGATGATTATGAGAAAAAGGAAAATGATAGAAGCAAAGCTATTCAATGTGATTCACTGAGAATGTGTTGCGTTAAGTGACATAAAAGACTGGAGAACCAGTGATCATCTCATGACTGTGATTTATGAGCTCATTACTGCTTTTTAGCTTACTCCCAAAATCCTTTATTTCTACTTTTAGTCTTCTTAGAAACACAGAAATGTTTTTCTTTTCATTATCTTCATTTGGTTTCACAGTCAGTTTCTATTTTAATTCCTGTAACAGAGTGGTGATCTGCTGTCCCAGGTTTATGGCACAATGCACTTAAGGGCAGTGACTCACTGACAATTCTGGCAAACAAAACTGCTTTTGTTTTTTCATTGGTTCTGAAATATTATTTCTCTTTATCACCTTTACATTCTTTCACTTGCACCCTGTTTACTCTCTTTCTCACACAAAGACACACACCAGCACTCTCACACAATATCTGGTACCTCTTCTCAGGAGGGGGCTCCTGATTGGTTGGTGCTGCTGCCTGCGCTGTTTCCTGCAGGTCAGGGATATTGGCAAAGTCATCTTGCTCTGCCACACCAATGGCCAAAGCGAGGACCACCAGCTTCCCTTCACTGGCTCCCCATAAAAAATACAATAGACAGAAAAAAGGGATAGAAAGAGAGGCGGGGAAGGAGCCCAGATGCAAAGGATAGAGGAATCGAGCATAAAGAAAGTGTGGTGCAGGGGGAAGAGGAGAAGGAGAGGTCATTTTAGATGGCATCCATGAAAGAAAGCTGAGAGGCAGCGGAACAATAAGAGAGCAAATAACAGCAAACAGAAGCAGCAATAACAGAGAAAACGACCAAAAGAGGTCACAAAGCACCCCAGCAGTAAGCATTTTGTCCAGGGAAGGATATTACAAAGAGAGCCTGAAGTGAAAGGCCAAATTAATAAAGATATTAAAAATAAAGTGTGCTGACAACAGGTATAGCTTGTATTCTGTAGCCTACAGACAACAAGATGATTAGTTAATTATTCCTAATGGATGTGATATTCAGCAGCTTGCATAGCAGCCTCAGCACATGTATAAGGTGTCTAGACATCCACACTGACAAAACACACTGCCCACACACTCAGTAATTCATCAACTTATTTTACCTTCCTTCTGCTTTCCCTCCAGATTCACCTTTCCCATTGAACATGCAAGACGCCTTTCTCTGGAGTTAAGATTTAATTAATCCTCATTAAGAAGATCTGGACTAATTGTTTCTATTTGAGCAATAGACTATCTGGAGGTGTGCGTGTGTGTCACCATTTTCTGGGTCACTGCTCCTCTTCTTCTCATTTCATCTTCTCCATTCAGCAAGAGTTGTCCAAATCCTTCATTCTCCCCTTATCCCTCTGCCCTACGCTTAATTCCCTGCACTCTTCATCACTGCCTCGTTCCCTCTTTCCTGTCGTCCTCACCCACAGCTCCATAGCTTAAGCCCCTGACTATGTTATAGGATCTCTGCTGAGGAAATATTGGGATGCTAGCGTTGGAGAGATATATCCTCGAAATTTAGCAATTTCAGCCTTTCATACTTCATCGAAAGCTTTGCGGCACCTCAAAGTCAGTTTAATAATATCACTGTTATAAATAGAAACTCGCGGTTGCCAAATTTCTGGTCACTGCTTTCATTAAAGATTGTGACACTGACACACTCACCAGGAAAGTTGTCATTATACAGGTGATGTTTTCCGGATTTTATTTGGAAATTTTCAACCTCATTTTGCGCATTTGTTCAGTGAAAAAGACCAAATAAATCTTATATGCATGAGTTCACTTTTATGGCCCATTAAGAAATTATTATATGTTATTCATTGTCACATCAGTGCCTTGTTTTTTACTAAATTTTTTCTTGTGCTTTAAAAATAAACATCAAAGGGTGTGTTGTTACATTGCACATAATATGTGACTGAATAGAAATTAATGTATTCTGTATTAGTTAGGGTTTTTATCATTCTGGTATATCCATTTATATATATAGCCACTGGTACAATAAGGAGCTATTTACCAAATATACTATACTATTTTAGCATTATTACATTTTTGTATAGACTCTCAGAACATGGAAATACAGACTACATTGGGGGTCTAGGAATAACAACTCTTTAATATGAGGCAACCTCTTTTTCAGGTGTTGAAATGAAACAGACAGATAACTCAAAAGCTGTTTTGTGTGTATTTTTGGGCTATTCCTTCATTGTCTTGTTATCAGTTAGGCAGTCAAAAAAACACTGGCTTTTGCATTTGGAAGTTGCTGCTGTGTCTCTGCAACATATGGTCAAAGGAGTTCCCAAAAGCAAAACGGGCCATTTCTACACTGTACAAACAAATCAATCACAGGGACAGCTGAGACATTTTAGTACATTCAGTGAAATAAAGATTGCACCTATGAGCCCAGCAACACCGTAAACAGACCCCACTGGAATCTACAGATTTCACTGCATGGTGCAAAACCTTTAAAAAAACAGAAGAACAAAAAAAAATGATTTCACTTCGGCCGCACAATTTTGAAAGGCCAGAGCACAGCTAGATCTGCATTCTTTTAGCAGATTAAACTGAGGTGAACCATTATCAGAATGAGAGGAAGACAATTACTAATAATAAGAGATGTACAGACAGAATTATGACTTGTAACATTTTCCAGTGGTATTGTGTCAGTAGGATCTATAGAGAGGTAGAAACTGCTAGATGAAACATGTCTAGAGCTTTACTTTAGTTAGAAGGAAGTCCTTGAAAAAGAGCAGAGTCTTAATACTTGAGCTGTATTTGCTAAACTGTGGGTACCTTAAAATCAAAGCAGTAACTGTGCACTTTGAATCCATACTCATTGCAAAACTGCAAATGTAATGTTGTTTGATAAATGGCCACATTAAGAAAAGCAAAAAATATAAATCGGCATTCATACAGCAGCTGCGAGTTGAAAAGCTACTGGATCCCTCTTCTCCTGTATCCTGGTTACTATGGAAATTTTCTCTAAAGATAAATCCCACAACACTTGACTCTGAGGACCTAACACTAAGGAAGCAGACATAAGTAGAGACATTGATGTTGCTTCTATAAACTATTGATTATAAGCCAGTCCAAGACATCCATTTAGTCAAACTTCTCCACTGGCTAAATTTCCCTGTCAATGACATCAACACAGTTATTGAGCAATAATTCCCCCAGACAGGGAACCCGGCCAAGATTGAAATGAACCATCTTGAACAATGGGTCACGTCTATTACTGTACTTCTCTGCCATCAATCACACGAGGTGTTGATGGAAAAAAAGGAAACGCACCAACAATAACCTCAAAGTCACATTTACAATAACGAGCACTCCCGTTGACGATCATGGGCAATATTGTCAGTGACCTTGGTGGCTGCTTGGTGAGCTACATCACAGATTCTCAGTTAGCCAGCGGCATTAGTTCAGCTGTGATGTTAAGAGAAGCTTTGAAGGACATAAAAAGGGATAAACAAATGGTGAAAAGCTACTGTAAAACCAGTTGGGTGCACATCGAGCACAGTGTCCTTGCTCTTCTGTTCCTTCATCACCCTCAGTCTCCCTTATCTGGCCCCCCCACCTCCCCCGGGCATGGTGTGACAATATGATGCAGAAGTAATGGTGCTGGTGACATAAGATCAATGTGGCAGGGTTAACACAAATCTACAGCCAGCAGCTTAACCCTTGTTCTTATACTGATGTGCAGTAACTTTCCAAGGCGTGATGTACACTCACACATCTGACAAATGGCTGGCTGCACAGACAGCAGGTAACCATTCACCAGTTTCTGATTTACTTGAAAAAAAGTTGCAGTGACACCATAAAAATGCACGTATACAAGATTGTGCATAAGATATTTAAGATATTAAGCATTCCTTTCAGAGGGTGGCTCAGAAATAACGAAATAACGAAAATGGTGGAGGTGCTGCTAAATATATCGTGACTTTTCATGACACTGATGAACATCAGGAAGTAAAAACGTGTTGTAAAGACAGTTGCCGCAGAATGCCAGCGAAACAGATGTGGCTGCTTAGCAGAGCGCACGGCGTAACCATTTAACAGTTCTCTCACAGAATAGGATAGAAGTAGCCTACAATATGTCACACCTCGTGCCATTTTTCATGCACATGACTTTCTAAAAATAGACGCAAAGACTGCTCAATAAGGTTCCTGCTTTACTGCAGCTCATCACCAACAAAACCCTACACATTCATATTAAGCTTTATCATCAAGTTATCACTGATCATTTTGCATTAAAATGCTCTGATGCAGTTGGAATAAACAGCTTTAAAAAAAGCTAATGAACACAGATAAACAGCTTTAATATTTGATATGATGTCCTAAGAAAGAGATTGATCTCCAAAATAATCAGTGTGCAGAGCTGAAAGACAACAGCTTATTTACTTTCATAACTTTGCACTCATTAGCATTTTTAAACAGCTTTTTTATATAGCCCATTTATTGCCTTCTCATTTGCATGTTTTATTATCTTACATTATCATTATCAGCTGTAACATGAACCCATTTGCCATGTTAACCATTTACTGCCCATCTTCCTGCGTGGCTGGGGGGTGGGATTAACTGTTCCATGAAAGCATTTCCTCTGCAAACACACAGTCTCACAGACATGTAAACACTCTTATACATGTATGTGCACAAACACACAGTGGTGTTTTGACGGGTATAGAAATATCCTTCCCTGGACACCAGACTTAACACCTGAAACACCTGAATGAAGAGGAACAGTTCATCCTATGGACACATTTAAATACAGGTTAGTTAGAACCGTAATATCTTAATTCAACCCTAAAAACGTACACATCGAACACACAACTTACACAAATGTGCAGAATAACTCTAGATAGAATATGATAAACAGTGATACAGGTTGACAGAGGCCTAAATAAATGTCACTAAAAAGGACATTTGAGGACTCACAGAAAGGATTTGACATCCAGGCCACGATTCTTGATCTGGTCCATCATGTAATCCCAGCTGCCGGGACTGGCCCGCGGGCACCCCGCTGCTCCACCTCCCCTATAGCGAGAGGCCCCTGCTCCTGCCGGGCCCCCTCGTGCACCCCGGGGGCCCGCTCGTGCACCTGCGGCCCCACCCTCACTACTGCTGCCACCTCCCTCTGCTCTCCCAGCGCCCCCACCTCCCGCGGGCTGTCCGGGCGCTGTGTGTAATTGTCCCAGGCTCTGGGATGTGGTGGGGGGGTGGCACAGGCCCGGGCCAGAGGGGTGGATGAGAGGCTGCTGGAGACTCTGCTGGCGCAGCAGTGTCCGAGGCCGGGCGGGGCCGGAGGGGATGTGCTCCAGAGTGGAGGTGTAGGATAAGACCGGATCCCCAAAGCTGGGAGGGCAGAGTAGCAGTGAGGAAAGAGAGCGTGTAGAGGGCCATGGCCGGCACACAATCGGATTATGAGGAGAAGCAACAGAGTCAGAGGTAGAAGAGGAGGAGGCAGGAATGGAGGAAGAGCCATGGCAGGAGGGGGTGGGTTGGTCAGTGGGTGAGGTGAAGAAGAGAGGTAAAGAATCATCAGGGATCAGACAAGGTGGCACGGGGCAGTCGGGAGGCCGAGGCGACGAAGTCAAGTTGGCGTCGGCGGAATGGAGACAGGAAAGGTCATCCGAACGGGAAGTTGGCGATTGTGGGATGGGAGAAGAGGTGGGGATGCAGGTATTTGGGGTCAAAGTGGAGGAGGGGGTGGAGGGAGAGGCGTTGGGAGGTTGAGAGAGGAGGAGGAGGAGAGAGAGAGAGAGTAAGGTGAGGCAGCAGCAGTAACAGCAGTAACAGAAGTAGCAGTACAAGGTGCAGCCTGCGTGGTGGGCGCTGTGTGCTGTGCTGGGCTGGTGGGCCTGCGTGGAGCAGCAGTGTGGCGACTGGGAGCCGGTCTTGTGCGCCTGCGCCAGACGCGAGTGCCCCCTGCGTAGGTGTGCGGTCTGAGCGTGCTGTTTGCATGCGGGTGTGTTCCGCAGTGGCAGCGGCCGGATGTTCACCGTCCGCACGGGCGTGGAGCGCTTCTGTGCCACGTGACCACGGCCAGGCGTGTGAGTTGTGGTTTTGCTGCTTCCAGGCCTCCCTGATGAAGGTTTTTTGGTCTGATAAGAGATCCCCATCTCCTCTACTCGCCAGTCAACATCTCCATCTCTGACAGTCTCTCTTCTTTTCTCTCTAAGTATTTTTGGTCTTTTAAATACATGCTGAGCCTCCAGAGACATCCCAACAGCCAACCAAGTTCTACAGTATCACTCCCTCCCCCTGTCAGGCTCCCGTTTTCCACTCCTCCCCTTCATAAATGCTGTTTAATTGGCTAATTGCTTTTCCTAATATGTCAAAACCAAATGAAGCAGTGTGACAGAGCCTACAATGCTACTCACATGTCAACACTTGCTTCCAAAACGCAGATTTCTGTGTTTTGTAGACTCGAGAATGCCTCTTATCATCACTGTTTCTATTCTATTTTTCCCACTAAATATATCTCTCTCTCTTAGATCGCTGTGTAACCCAGACTACCAGAATTAGGTCATGAGAGAGCTATTCACATCAGTTAGGTGCAGTTTACAGCACTTTGCATTACCTCATCTAACACAATTTTGCGATCTTTCAGTGAGATATCATCATATCTAACACACAAACACAAGAATGAAAAAGGAACAAAGGAAGATTTTCTAGAACTAAACAAGTTTGTAGGACAGTCATACAAAAAGTTTAAGAGAGTGGAATGACTTCACATGACGATAGAAAGATGAAGACAGTGAAGGGAATGATATGAGCAGAGGGTGACGATGGAGGAGAGACAGAATATGGGGTGCGAGACACAAACACAAGAGACACAGACACTTATAGCAGCCCTAAAATAGAATCCAATTATAGACAGGGGCAAAAAGAAAGATGAGAGGAGGAGAGAAGGAGGGAGTGAGGTAGCGATGAGCATAAATGTGTTATGGAGGAAGATATCACAGGCATGAAGTGCCAATGGAAGGTGAAAGAAATCACAAAGAAACCAACATTTAGTGCCTCATTGACAGCACACTGAATATAGACCCTGCATCATGTCAGACGTCATGGCTGTGGGATGCACCAGGACAAAGCTCTGTGTTCCACATTAATCTTCATTAACAGGTGGACTGGAAGCATTTGATACTTAAATTTAGTGAGTGAACGAAAAGTAGACGCCTTTATGGTTGTGGTGATGCAAATTGAGCACGCGGATAAATGATACTTTTGCCCGGGTTGATACTGGAAGGTGAGCATTCCAGCCGTGCTGCCTGCGTCAGCTGAAGGTTTGAGTCAGTGAGAAACAGCCTGTGCAACTATTGTTATCTTCACCTGATGAGAGCTCACATTTCCCCAGTGCTAACACCTTGATCTGCGCCCGCACGCTCACCTTCTCACCTAAACCGCGCACTGCCCTCCCCTCCCCGCTGAACTTGGCCCGGTTCTCCGCATTTCTATTCCGAACTCATTCATTCATGTAATCTCTGCTGCTTTGCTGCTGTTGCAGGACAAAACCTGTAAAAACATACTCTTTATAATGGCAAAGTGTCTGTTTTGCGGGAATGGTTGCTTTTTGTCAGTCTCTGGTTCTGAACTCACTTGTTGGGTCTCAGTGCTCCAGACTGCATGTGGCCCTGGACGGTCTGCCACTTCCCGGCCTTCACTCCCTCTGACACCATGCTCTTCACGCTGTCACTGCGATAAGGACCCCCCCCAGCATCCCCATGCCCAGTTGCTGCCCCCTTCTGACTCCCTGACACTGCCCCACTAAGGGAAAGAGACAGGGTCCAGAGATCCCAGATAGTTCAGAATAAGAAGAATAATGACAGGCAGAAGAGAAAAAGACCAAAGAGTGTGAGAAAGACACACAAACACACACACAGGAAAATAGATTGAGCAACCACATGGCAAAGGAGGTGAGACAGATCAGTAGAGTGCGTAAAGGGGCAGGCCTAGTTTTCCAGGCCAAATGAGAGGCAGGTGGATGAAAGAGGTCTGAGTTCCAGTGTGAAGGAAGAGCAGAGTGGGGGGAGGAAGGCAGGGAGAAGCGCTAGGAGACGAATTTAGAAGGAGCCTGTGAGGGGTGGAAAACCAGCAACAAGTTCCTCCTTTAGACTATTACTTTAACGGCAACAGTGTGCAAACATTTAGCTCTTATTTTATCATTCATTAATGCAGTTACACCATCAGACGTGCTCCTAAAACACTGGAGGAACTTTTATGTGGCAGCTAATAGAACTGGAAGTGCCACATAAGCAAGTGATCATCTTAGTTTGGATGTCACGCACAAAAATAAATAAACAAATATCATCTACTTTGGACCATTATCTCTAACAGTAGTCTTTTGAAATATCCACTTGTCATATTGATACAATTTACAGTTAATTACATTAGAGGAGAGGTGACATTATGGCGCCAAATTAGAAAGGAGGGCAATTTCATCACACTGACCTCCAGAACAGGAACAAGGTACTGAATTAATCAATGCTCACATTAAAAGCAGTTGTCATCTCAGATTTAATCTAAAAACTGGTCCGGTGATGATCAAAATTACAGAACATTAGTGCCCTCTGGTGACATGAGTAACACTTCATTGATAGGCTTGGCACCCCTGCTCCTGGAGACATAAAACATGAGCCACTCCAGACTTTGCCTACTGGTGTGCATGCGTGTGTTCAGAGGGGGTGCGAAACTTGCATCAAGGTCACCTTTCACATTTAACTTTGAGCAGCTGAAATGTCGCTTCCTGTGGATTCATCATCAATCACAACAGCAGGGATGATGCTGCCCAAATGACAGTCAATGCAAGACTCATGAGCCTCATTTACTGGGTAAAGGACGTGATAACGCTTTATTGAATGTCCAAACAACTAGATGGTGCCACACATATTTAAAAGTATTCAGGGTCAAGATGATCTTATCAAAGAATTGTTTTTGCCGAACTTCAGAAAAATGGCTTTAAAAAAATACAACACGGTATTAGTCAACTTTTTTTTTTACAACTGATAAGCTACAGACTTTAATGTGGTCAATATAATTAAATGTCAGAGGAACCATTTTTTCCAAAAGTGTGTGGAGCATGTTAAAAAGTGTGAGAAGTGAACATCAAATCCAAGAAATCCTCTAAAGGAGACTGTCTAAATGAGGCCCAGTGTCATTACAGAGACTAAAAGGTAGTGATCTCAAGAGAATCTCAAAAAGGAAATGATTTCCCAGCTGTCTGTTGGCTTCAGCGACACATTATTGGTTGGAGTCAGGAGGTCATCCATGCATCTCCTAGTGTGAAAAATCCTCATAATGTAGTATAACTTTAATTGAAAGTCAGTATTCTTACTGGCTCACACACAGGTGATAAAGCCGATCGTTTTTTCAGAGAAAAGCTCATCTATCTGTTTTTCCATGTGAAAGCAGGACCTGGTGAAAAATACATTTATAAGCAACAAATGACAACCCCAGGGACTTTATGAAGAACAAAACTCTAAAAAAAAAAAACGTTTGAAGCTTGTAATCTGGGATCATCTTGATGCAGAATTTCCTTCCACTATGCCTATAAGCACACTGTTGCCTTCTTTCTGCAGGAAATCTAACGCAAAGTCTTCAGCAGCTAGGTTTAGCAAAAGATCATCAGTTACTAGACACTTTATCAGATAGAGTCCTGGTAACAGGATTTCTACGCTTTGATTCCTCTCAGTGTCCAGAGGAAGATAGGTATGGCCTTGAAATGAAATTGTTTTTACTTTATCTCTAAGTAATTTGGATTCAAGTACCAGGTAAATAAAAAAAAGAGACTTTTGCAACAAGAAAGAACACCGTTATCCTGTCTCCCAAAATGATAGACAGTAGATGCACTTCCAGTGATTCAATGTTAATACAGTACACATTTGATATTACACTGATGGGAATCGGAGAGAAGCCACAGATGGATGTAAACTACAGGTGAGCACTGGCACCACACTGCAACCTGGTGTAACGGTCAACCCTCCACATTGAAAGCAGCAACAACAACCAGCAGATTTCAGTTAACACAAGCAGAAGTTGGGAAGATACATACATTATAGAACAGGTGGGTTAAAGTATGCACATCTCTATTAGGGGACAAATCTACGAGGGTTGTCCGTCTCCATGGTCACCCCATGGGAGAAAGGTGAGAGGTTAGAAGTCAAGAGTTAGTATAGCGTGGCAGGGCTGTAGGGAGTGAGGGGGCGCCTGAACATGTGCTTCATTTAAAGGTGACAATATAAGAAAAAGCGGCAGATCCTTGCCTGGGGGAGATTACATAGCCGTGCTGCTTTGCCACCGCAGTGTTAGTAAAATGACTTTCAAAAGATGCTGCAATGTGCATGTGTGGCATTTCCCCCCGCTCATATTTCCCAACCATTATTATTACGAATAATCATTAGTAATCATTTGTCCCCCCAAGTGTGCCAACACTGGGGGGTGGGGGGGGTTCTTCTTGTTGGTGTTACTATTAATGACGGAAATAACATTATTCAAAAGAAATAGGTCTGCAAAAGTGCAGTTTGTTCGATTTCAACACTATAAAATGTATGAAAAAAGCTTTTTGAAAGCCAGTGGCTAAGTATCATAAGTTAAGAAAGAGGAGTCTGCCCTTAGGAACAGAAATATGATTGACTCTTGAAACTATCCACATCATCTGGTTCAATGTGATGGGTAACTAGAGGTGGTGAATACAAAGCCAGGAGAGGGGGTGTTTTGGGAATGGAATGGGGGATTGTGATGTAAGGGATGGGAAGAGAAGGGAAAGGAAAGAACAGGAAAGACAGGACAGGAGAGGGAAGGAAAGCAGGGAAATATGTAACAGATGGGAAAGGGGGAGAGTGACACTGCCCCTGCCTCGTTACAGCCCTGCTCAGGGGGACGTCTCTTACCAAACTTGGACCAAGACTCACTTGAGTGTGAGGCGAGGATCTCCATATGGGGCATAGGGAGAAATGTTAAGTACGAACTCCTTGGGCGGATAGGAGCTCCACCTCTGCTGCACTGTGCTGCTGTCATTGTTATTCCAAAAGTCTCTGTCTAGATCACTGTGGCCAAAGAGAGAGACAGGTCAGAGCAACACAACTACGGACAGCCAACCCAGCAGGTGCTTCTCCACAAGGAGATGATGCTGGGCTTGGTTTAAGGACGAACGTTGAAGTCACAGCTGCATCAAAAGTGGGTTTGAAATAAAACAGGCCACAATCTAAGTTCTTTTTTCTACCTGAAGCAGACAGGTCACTGAAGTGGTTTATTTAAAAATAGAAACGGGGCAGCCTGGGGAGAAAAAAGGCATTCACAGGACCTTTTTAGAAAGCACTAGCAAAGACAAAGGCAGAAAGAAAGACAGATAGTTTGAAATAAAAGGATCATAGGCTTCTTAAAACATATGGCATGTGATAACATTCTGTTCATCAAGAGCAGCACAACTCATGAAAGACGGTTGGCATCAAGACGTCTGCACCCCATCCTTGTCGTGAGCAGTGGAAAAGCATGAACACAAGACACAAGGCAGAGAGATAAAAACATAGAAAGTCAAAGTGGGTGAGGAAAACGGGTGAGCAGAATCACTAATGTCATACAAGTCACACAGCAGTGGTCAGAGCTGTAATAGGCGGACAGAGCAGGAGAGAAAATGCAATGCACAAAGAGAAGGAGGCTGAAGCTGAAATGACCAACAGAGCACACCAATGCTGCTGGAGCCAGTGAGAAAGAAAATGCAAAAGTTAAGAGATTGGAGAGCTCAAGTCAGAATACATCATGAGCAGCCTATTTTTCAGTGTTGAAAACCATTCATACAGAAAAAAGCACACAGTGGAAAACAGCTGAGGCAAAATCAGGCTATAGAAAAGAAATAGTGATGAGCTGGTTATAATATGTATTTAGTGGAATACAGTGGTATCAGGTACCACTGGTACCACATGACAAAAAAAGCTGACATTTTGTGGTGCTGTCCTAAAGCCTTATTTTATTCAAAAGACAAAATACCACAATCTGATTTTGAGCCCTGTAAGAAACATGCATAATTCAGAAGATATGTGCCCAAGTCTCCTTCTTTTTCCTTGAACCTGCAACACCTTAAGTAATGCAGAGCCATTGAACTTAAAAGGATCTCACAAGCCATAAGATAAGTGCAGGGGCAGTTAGTCCAGCCAAAAGCTTCCTGGGTCAGATAATTTAGATTTAATCGAGACAGATTAAATCACTTTGTTCTAATGTTGCGCAAAACATTCTCTTGTAGAAATTGTGTCCACACAAAGCAACTGGTGCTCGTTTTATGCACTGTTTGTGTGATGCACATTGAGGGACTCAAAGCTTTACCAAATGGAGTTAATTATCACCAGGCTATTCTACCCCAACCAGTCACCAGGCACTTACTTGATGGCTTTCTTCTCCCCTCGCCCACGTGCAGAGTCTGGAGTGTCGGCTGTTTCTACTCCTGGCTTGTTCCTCTTCCCCTTCAGCCAAACAGAGGGAGGGGATGGCAGAACAAGCAGAGAAACAAAAGGTTAGCTTAGATTTGTCCTTTTAAGATGTGTTTTTGCTGTACTAATTTCAAGTGTAAATGCCTCTTCTATTATCTCAGGAACACTATGCTTTCAATGCTCATGGTACCCTGATTACACTAATCAAAGTCAAATCAAATCTGCTGTGAAGAGCCATTTCTGACTATGATTATCATTTGCACCACCCTGAAATTTACATGGCAATTGCCTCTTTAAGGTAATCTGGTGGGTAGTGTAGAGAAGCCCCTGGAAAGTCTTGCAAAAGCCTGATTTCAAATAGCTAGAGCATGACCTGCAGTAACCATGGAAATAATGGCAATTTAAAGGCCTCAAAAAGTAGGGACTGCTGCGCGCTTTCTTCTGGAAAAGCTCATTACAGTCAAAGGTGTTTCACATGTGTCACACTGAAGATAATCTCTATGGACACATTTGTACAAGTGGAACAGGTAAGGGATCGGTCTAAAGCTGCCATGCCACACAAACACCGGGAATTCAAAACTGAAAGTGATGCTCTGATACACACTGAGGATCAGGGAGGATTCTTCATAGCAGAACAGTGGGAGGAAAAACAGACTTACCGGCCTCGACCTTGATAGCATAGCTCAGCTAGCCTTGGATCTTAAGTTTGCTGAAGGTCAGTTTCCTGTTGTAAGCTTGTTTGCGTTTGGCTGAGCATGAATCTCCGGCTTAAGGCGTTTTTGGTTTCATTATGGAAGAGTGTATCCATTTTCCCGAGCTCTTGTGTTAACCATTTCAATATACTGTCTAACTACGATGATACACTTCCCTGCTCCAACCAGAGGCCCAAAATTCAGAGTTAAATGTAAATCCTGACCTAAATACAGCTATTCATAAAATTCTACATATCCAACAAATCCGAGAAATCCAGACCTGTTTTTTAAAGCCATTTAATCGGCATCTTGGTAATACAGACTCAAACAAGCACAGGACCCAGGCCCCACAATCTGTACATTACCCAGCCCAACAACCAGCAAGATCATCTCAGTTTCTTGTCATGTTGAGATTTTACTGTATATAGTATTGATCTTTAGTAACAATTATTCATCCTCCAAATGGATGTCAACACAAACATAACCAAACCGAACTTGAGACTAAATTAAGACAGATAATCAATCTGGTGTTACTTCTGAGGTTTTTTTTTGCCAACTCAAATCGACACAGTCAATTTAGGAGCATGTGAGAATACAAACTGTGCCACAGGCCATATATATATTGAGATTCACAGCAACACAAACAAGCTGATTCAGACTACAAGCAAAAAATTGGCCATTGTGGGTTTGGATTCAGTTGGACCTGACACAGAGGCAGAGTTGACAATAGCACTGCTGAGAAAAAATGATAAAGCCCACAATAGCACTACTGATTATATCTATTACACACAAAGCCACTCAGCTATTGTATAATCAGAACTAATCTGAACTGAAAAGGTCAACTAATGAATAAACATTGACAGGATAACCAGTTGAACAGCTACATTCAGCAGGGGTGTTGATTATTTATACAGTGATCTCCAGATTAACAGTCTCTTTACTTGACATACACACGGATGTACCTCCATGTACTTTCTGGAATTCTGGAATTGAAATTAATCTTTTTATCGTCACTACCTGAGACTTGGCCAAATACCATCAAACAGGTATTAAAACCCCTAGATCATCTCTCGTGACAAGTCATGCGTATATTCTGCCGTTCTATCGACAATGCTTCAAAAGATCAAACATCCATTCTATGCCATCCAATGAAAGCAGATAAGAAAACCACAACAAATCTTTTTGGAGGACAATTTCTTGGAAGGAAAACGGCTGATAATATTGTGAGAACACACAATATACCATAGGAAACTCATATATCTGTTCAAAGCAACAAGTTTGATGACCGAGCGTCCAGAAAAGAAAGGGGATTCAGAGCTTAAAATTGATATCATATTGAAAAACAAAAAAGAAGCTTCCAGAAGGTGCAAAAACAAAGATAGCTTGTGAAACAATAGGAATGGCATTAGGGGAAGGAGCACATGGTGAACTGAGGGGAACAATGAGTGACAGACAGTCCCAGTGGATTGGATATGAAAACAAGGAAGGAGTCGCACACTGTGCCGTAAGACACACACCTTCATTTCCATACACACACCTTCTTTACACCATCCCTCCAGATCATTCACAAGAATGAATAGCAGGCACTCTGCTTCTATCTTCAAGGGAGGTGTGGAGGCAGCAGAAATCCATAGTCATTAATTTGACAAAGCTCTATCAACATGACACACGAGACAATGAAGAAAATCAAGTTAATACCCAAATGTGGGTTAAAGAAAACCAATTGAAGAGTGCACAACCCACCCACAGCTTTTTGTTGCAGTACAGAAGGTTTTTAGGATTTGGTGGTGTCTGGCTTTGTGCCATCACTTCATAATAGTTCAGGCTCATATCATGATCACTGGTAATGAGAAACAAGCCTTTAATTACAGAAAAATAACCCATTAATACCTTCAACACTTAAACTAAAGCAGAGCATGTAATAAGTCCAGCACTGTCGACTTGAAGCAAATTATCAACTCATTAATTATATTTAAAACCCAAACCATTAAAAAAAAATTATATTAATAACAAAAAATGTATTTTTGGTCTTATTTAGGTAAGTCATGTCTTTGTCAACAGTAAATATATAAATCAATAACAATACAATAACAATAAATGTTAAGCATGACTTTTTTCTATCTAAAACATACAAGACCCTGTCAATTATCTTTATCACTCACAGTTTAACTAAAGCAAATCAATCTTTAGCAACCATTAAAAAAATAATTCTGTTACCACTTCACATTGCTCCCCTATTTTGATCTAGAGAGATAAAAAAAGTTCTGATCCACATCACCACAGGATCGGAACAGAAACGTGCACAATGCCCAAAACATTGTTAAGAACACTTTAGGAAGTAGTCTGATTCCAATCAGGCATTAACTTTTGAACAGCAATGCAATAGCTGTCTCCATTACCACCCATTGAATTGTTATCAGCCTGAATTGTCTTCATGTCCTGTTAGGGATGAGGCAAAGTTTGAAACTACATTGTTCCAAATCCTTACTCGAAGCAGGACATTTTGCTGAGTGCAAAAAAAAAGACAAAAAATAGCCCCATTGTCTGCTTAGATTAAAATAAACTTTGACCTCAAGTTTGACGAGGCAGGCTGCAGGCTGACGTACCGTAGATAAATGGTTTCCATTATATGTGGGACACATAAAAAGTCATTGCAATAATCTAACTACCTATTGCATGCTATCTGTGTCCACATCCCACTGAATGACCACTGCAATCTTTTTTTTTTTAGAAAAACACATGGTATGCAAAGACTACTGAGGGCTCCTTCGGGTGTCTAATTTTTCTTTGGCATATGGCGCAAGATTTGTGTCAAGTCTATGAACACAGACAGACAGCAAACTCGAGGGGTAAATCACTCCTAGCAAGGGATTGAGGAAGAATTCTTAGAAATAGGATATAAAATGTCAAGGGACCCGATTAAAACTTCTACACAGAGTCCAGTGGACCCTATCCTGGCTCTATATAATTGGTTTGATTGACAGCTTAGTATTGTATTGGTTTTCTATATTTCAACTGGAGAAATGCGATCATCCCCCGACACCCCTTCCTCCCTCACTTGATTTATATCAGGCAGCCTTTGAGGTACGTTTTTCTGTTATCATATAGCTTAGTACAAACCATCAGATGAAATGTGGACAAATAGACTTTTTTATGTCAAGCATTTGCAGACAAATCAATTTCATATAATTTCAGTGAATTACCTGATGAAAAAAAACACATAATTGATGGTTTTATTTTGTCAGAACACCAAGATAACATGTGATGCTTTAGATCCATGATTGTTAAGGTCATCACTGCTACGTGTTACACAATTATAAGAAGATATATGTATGCCTAACTATGTATGTGTTGTGACTGGTGAGCTGAAATTGTCTGAAATTTTGGAGGGTGCAGACCATCAAGTATAAATGCTTAAATAGAGATGAATGAAAACTGAATTAGTTTTAGATCCAGATGTGTCCTTTCTTCGTATCTGATCATTTGTTCAGGCTTGACAAGGCGTGAATTAAACAGCAAAGAAGGACGCTCAACGTCGACGAACCAGGATCTTTTATTGTCTACCACTGCAGATGAGTGAGAAAAGATGTGGTGTTGGACTGCCCAGGGGGATGCAGAGAGTTTTCTTGAAGAAACCCGACATGAGAGGAGACTGAGTTAAAAGAACCACTCTTTCTGTCTCAGCTGGCAGTGCACTGCCTTCCAACACCCAGCTGTGTTTGTTTGCTGTGAATTAGCAGGCAACAAGAGTCTACATGCTCGCTCAATATTATCCACATCCCACCATAATTAGTGAGGAGTGCACTATTAAAATAGTAGTCTGCTGATAAGGCATCAAGCTATCGTTTGTTTTTAGCCTGTTTCACAACATATTTTTACATACCTGTGTTCCTCTGTGGTATTCTTATGCATAATCACAGAGGCATAAAGTGACGATAACTCCAAGAACACAGTTGACACTATCATTTAGCATGTCAGGTCAGGAACACAGAGCCACATAATGTGCTGCTATTATGATTTCCCCAATGACAGTTCTTCAGTGTTCTATAATTATTGATCCTCTCCCCTCTCTGATGGAGATAATTACTATCGAATCCTAACAATCCCTGTGAATGAAAGCAAATATTTGAAGGAAAGTCCATCTGTGGGTGTAGTCAGGTCCAATCTCAACCCCATCCACAACTGTGTCAGGGATCCAACAGCACATGGTTCACAGGAGCATGCAGATGGTTTCTGAGAGCCAAACAGCCACTGCTGCTCAAACAGATGTTAGCTGCGCCACCTCTGATATCTGAAAATCCTCCCGCCACCTACAACAGCAGCCCCTGCTGACAGCCATCA